GAAGTTGCTACTAGAAATTATGAGAAAATCCTCATCTGCATCGTTGTGATGTCTTCTCGATCTTCCCAGATCACACCCACTCGAGGTTGTCGGCTGCAAATCATATTCGTAGTCTTCTGCCTTGTCGCTCTCAACATGGCCGGGTTGTGGAGGTGGCTGTACGTACCCACCACAGCGACTGCCAGCGCCTCTATTGATGGACACTGACTATTGCTCAAGATGGCCCTTCTCGAATAGCCCGCTCAGCCCGTCGGCTTCAACCACAGTAGAAAATACACTGCTCGAGAAGCTTCGCAAAGATTACAACTACCCAGGCCTCGCCGCAGCCTCTAGCAGACATCGGGACTTTGCATCGGCCGTTACGGGCCTCAGGCGGATAGATGCCGCCCCCAAAATCACCAAGGACGACCAATTTCATCTGGCATCAAATACCAAGGCAATGACGGCCACTACTTTTGCTATGGTGGTGAAAGATGGGTATTTGCATTGGGATTCTACCCTGGAGGAAGCCATTCCCTCTCTCGCAGATTCCATGGCTGAGGAGCACAAGAACACCACGATGAAGATGTTGACATCGCATCGGTCGGGCATCGATATTGACTGGGCAGCCGATGCACAGTTCTACGAGTCCTTGTACAAGCCGGACATATCCCCAAAGCAGGCTCGATGGCTGATGGTCAAGAAAGCGTTGGGCGAGCCACCAGTAAGAACCAAAGGCAAATTTTGTTACGACAACACCAATTATTTGATCACCGCCGCAATCATAGAACTGATCACAGGAAGTAGCTGGGAGGACTTTGTCCAGTCCCGACTCTTCGAGCCTCTCGGCATGCAACAAACTGGATTTGGACCCAACGACGAGACAAATGACACTTCTATCCGTAATCCCTGGCCACACAGATGGGTATCTGAGCCCTATGGACCAGCTGAGCCCGTGTCAGATGTCGACTTCGACCATCGCGATAAGCCACCGGCTTTCAACCCCGCTGCCAGAGTTCATTCGCCTATGGCCCAGTACAACAAGTTCCTGCAAGCCCATATAGATGGTGCTAACGGACATGACACGTCTCTCGGGCTGTCTCAAGATATGTTCAAATTCCTGCATACACCTTACGCAGATGATGACATCTACACACCGGGCGGATGGCACTGCCAACAGCGGGATAAAGATGGCAAAAGTTACAGTATTTCGCACTCGGGGAGCAACAGGTACAACTACGTAGTCGCATACGCGGTCATCGGCGGCGAGGAGGAGGGAACTTATATGGTGATGGCCAACATCGGAGGAATGGGTGTCGGCGATGGTTTGCGAAAGATCGTTAATGATCTAATAGCTGGAGATCTCCCGCTATTTTCAAGCCTCTGAGGATTGCATCAAAGTGTTTGATCTGGACACATAGAAGGCCCGAACACCGTTGTATGGTGGTTGTATCGGGCAGGGATGATTAGAAAGTTTTGAGCTAAGCATGGAAGGGAAAAAAAAAACCGCGTCGGGAAAAAGGCCTTTTTTCGCTTATACAAGAGGAGGGGAATGATTATCGTCAGGGAACCGTAGTGGGAGTAGGAAGGCGAAGCCTGAAAAGCTGCACTCAATTCTACATCCAAAAGGGATAATATGCTCCCGCACTCGGATAATCGAAGCCCGCTTTCTCGCCGGGTGGCTCAATGCACACTTCATATTATACCGGATTTCCGAATCTCAGAGACTTTGTCCATCGCTCTGCTTTACTGCAGGTTGCACAGTCTTTACAGGCAAAGTAATATCTGGGGATATCGTAACCGAGCACTTGAGAGTCCGGCGTGTACGTGCAACAACGCACAGAGGCCTGTCTAGCAGGTCGGGAATCGAGAACGCGTTTCTGGTTGGCACTGACAAGACAACACCACCAACACCACCCAGAGGGGGAGCGGCTAGGGCTACGAACACCTAGCACAGCGGCAGCATCGAGAAACAGGACAGGATTGATCAAACTCTCAGGAATTAGGTAGACGGCACCAAAAGGCCATGGAATTCATGGTACTCTTTCCAAAACTGTAAAGAATGGCACTCTGCCAGCATTGTGTACTGTTCCGCACTCCCTTCTGCCTGCCCATTTTGGTTTGACATGTGACTAGACAACTTCTTCCCCCTTTGCTACCACTCTACCAGCCCTGCACAGCCCCGCGCAGCCACTTTGCCTTGTTACAGTAGGGGCTCATAGCCTAGATATAAGAGGTATGAGCCACGGTGGGCTCTCTGGGCTCCCTGGGTATATAAGAATGCTGTGAGCCGCGGGAAAAATTGCTGATGTATGAAAGAAATAAAAAGGTCCGATACCGGGCCCCGACTCATTACATCTAGGAAAACCGATTGCCTCTATGGCGACAAATGAGCAGAGAGGACTGAGTATGAGTGGGAGTGTCAAAGATGGCTGGAAAAGTGTGCCCAACCTCTTCATTTCTAGGCCATATAGGTAGCCTGCTTCGCCCATTAGATGGGCAAGGCACAACTTTAGCCTCTTAAGCTTTGATAGAATTGTGAATCTCGGCCCAACTGAATATCTAGAGACCTTTGCATCGTGGTGATTATAGCTGGGTTGGATTTTATCAAATAAGAAGCCGTCGGACCGTAAGAATGCGATATTTCGCTTCACTAGAACCTTGGGTATTGTAAATTTGACGGAAAGGTGATCATTAAAATACAATTTTTCAAGCCTCATTTGACAAGGGGATCTCCCTAGCGGCTGTTTTGATATCATACACCCATACCCAATTACTTGTGGGCTTGTACTTCGGATCGTCTTTGTCGTGCCAACTGTGGGCGTCCCTCGACCCATTTTCAACCACATCGATGCACCGGTCCCTCCTAAGGTTCTGGAACGTCTTCAAAATCCGAGGCACATCGGTTTTCGAGCCCGCCCTGGCGAGTAACTCGGCTATCGCCGCGCCGTCTTCGATTCCCATGGCAGCACCCTGTGCGGCCGATGGAAGCATGGCATGCGACGCATCGCCTATCAAAACGATCTTGCTGCCGGGGAAGATCCAGTTCTCCAGGGGATGGAGGTCACAAAGGCGCCACTCCAGAACACCGTCTTTGGGCAAGTGCTTTGTCAAGGCCACCAAGCGTGGATCCCAATCTTTGTACTCCTCCTGAATGTCGGCTGGGTCGACGTCGGCAACGTATTTGGACCCAATGGCGCGGATGGTTGGTTGGTTGTACACCATGTTGTAGTCTTGTCCTCCTCGGATGGGGTACCCCAGGACGTGACGGCCCTGTCCGACCCTGAGAAGATCAAAGTGAGAAGAAAGAAGAGAAAATGATATCAGGTTGGAAGATTGAAAGGCAGCTGTCGGCCCGTAACGATCGTAAAATATGAAGAGGTTGATAGTAAATAGACTGGAAGGGGGTGAAAATAGCATACATACCAACAATGACTCGTCTGTTGCTCGGGATCGACTAGATCTTTGAGGTCGGGATACTGAGCAAGAATCTTGCCAGGGATTAAAGCGCGGTACGCCGAATAGCCATGGTGACGGGGCTCGTCTTTTCTGCCAAGAAGATTCTCTCGCGTACGGGATCTGTAGCCTAACCAGGAAGTCAACAATCTTGTTGTCAGAGCAGTAGCCAGTCTCATGGCGAATCTCGGTTGCTTGGGGGTTTTGGACTCACCATCAGCCGCTATTATGACATCCGCAGTGATCACACTTCCATCCCCAAGCACTGCAGCAGGGACGTCCCAGTCGTAACTCTTGGCCAAAACACCCATCCTGATCGTAACTCCAACTTCTTGAGCCTTTTTGAGAAGGATACCATGCACGTCGGCGCGGTGGACTTGCCATAACGGCCCTCCCTCGGCGGCGCTCGCACAGCTGGGGAAATGCTGTATCGACATGGGTTTGCCTTCGTGCGTCATGAACACCACGCGTCTCATGTGCGTTGAGCAAGCCTCCATTTCGTCCTGCAGGCCCATGTCTATGAGGACCTGAGCAGCGTTCCCAGACAACAAGATACCTGCTCCAACCTAAAAAACTAAGATTAAAATGTTGCTCTCTCGCTTTTTTCGCCAATCCCCACTATTCGTGACAGAACCTGAGTATGTCCTGGTCGACGAGAGAATACTCACATGGGTGTAAAATTGCGTTGCTTCCAGAACGGTGACATTGAACCCTTTTCTCCTGCATGCAATTGCGGTTGTTAGGCCTGCTATGCCACCTCCGACGATTAGCACGTCGAACTTCGGAACCGTATGTCCATTCGTATGCGAGCTGGTGGCCATGTTGACTAGTTCTAGGTTTCAGGGTGTCGATTGAATTCTCCAAGACTGGCCTTGATCCAGCCCATAGGATTTTGTCGGTACTTTAGTTGGACTTCTGACCTGACCCGGGTGGCTGAAGCGCCGGTGATTCGGCATTTTGGGGATATGAAACCTAGCCCACTTGAACCTTTACCCGAGAGCCTCCTGGAATAAGGACATTCCGATAGTGCCGTCCTGATGAAACGACAGCCGGATGCAAACAGGCTCAGGTGAGTCTGGCCATTAGTGTCGTAAAGAAGTTCATCAGAACATTGTAGATTCTGTCCTACATTCCTCATTGGCGTGACATGAATTGCCCAATAACCCGCCCCTTTTGTACCGAAGGAAAAAGAAGATGCGAGCAGGTGACCGTTCAGCCTGTGATTACCCGTTTGTAATGAAGACGTTGGCAGTACAGTCAATGACAAGTCTCGCATTTCTTACGGTGGTCCTTACTACAAGGCATGCCTTTCTTGAACGAAGATGAACAACAGTACTCCAACTGCTAGAGTGGGTGTGCCGGAATTGCACGCCCCTGCTCCAGGTTCAGAACTACAGCCCATGGGCACCTACCAAGGTCTCAACTCAAGAAAATAAAGAGCTTATGTCGATAATTAACTTGGGCTTTTTGGAAAAGTATGATGTTTTTAAGCCCGCCGGTCAATAAGTAGTCTTGGGAGTGTTTTGGACAACGGGTTCGTCCATATGATTCTTATGGTCTAAATCTCACAAATGACCACTATTTTCAAAAGCAGCTTCCTCAAAGACTGCTTTCTCAAATGCTGTAATTAATTTCCTGCACCGAAAATCTCCTCCAGGCATCAACTGCGCGCCGAAGACGCCGCATACGCCGGCCTTCCTGTCCAGGAACTAGAAAGACGCGGAGAGTCAGTTCAGTTTGGTATAGCCTGTAAAAGCTTATACAAAAGTAGGATAAAGGGACTAACCCAGAAGAAATTTGGCACACCGCTCCAATTGAGGTAACCCTTCTTCCTCCAAGACACCTCCTTCTCATTGACGTCTTGCATAGTCAATACGCCTCCCAAACCCCAATCATAGCGGACGTTGGGAGGAAACGTTCCAATGGCGCATGGTCCTCCTTTAGGTTCTGATCTGTAAACCGCTTGGAGTGCTTCCTGGCTCTGGTCACTCAGCTGTGGCTCGAACATCAAAGCGCAGGTCGATTTCTTCAAGAGGACCTCGTCATCATCCAGCAAACTCCGCAGGATCTTCAGATACGAAGGCGCAGAAGTATAGAGTCCTTGGCCACCCATTTCTTCCTGAGCAACGGCGTGTCTGTTCGGTCCCTCGAATGCAATCGCTTTTCCAGCCCCATCAGCAACCGATGGGTCTCGAATTGACAGGCCAGCTAGCCGTGCCTTGATCTCTGGATGTCGATCCGGCCAAAAGGTGGCGTCAGAAATCCCAAGCGGTTCGAAGATATGCCGTTGGAAATAGATTTCCAGATCTATCTTGGCAATCCGGGCAATCAGCAGACCAGCCCAGTCGATGCCTGTACCATAGTTCCATGAAGTCCCCGGCTGGAATTCAAGAGGAGCATTGAAGCTCTCTACTACTGTCTTCGCGGCGGCCAGGATAGGCAGACCCAGAGATTGATAGTATTCCTTTAAGAGCGGCGACATAAAGGGATAAACGACGCCAGAGGAATGACTTAGGAGCTGGCTTTTTGGATATGTCAGTCACAGCACCATTTTCCCGCCTGAGGAGCTCTAGAATGGGGAAATTAGAGGTTTCAGCATTGTTCAAGATTCTTTGAACTCACCGTAGAGTGATAGGTCCATTTCTTTTCTCAAACACTGGTTTTCCGTCCTTCATCTCCTTCAGGACCTGAAGCTGGGCAAGCTCTGGAAGAACGTCCCCCACGTTGCTATCGAGGCTGATTTGACCCTTTTCCACCAACTGTAAAGCTGCAATCGTGGTGACGAGCTTAGTGCCGCTAAACAGCAACATTATTGTATCGGGCGAGCAGGCAGCCCCCTCGCCTGCTTTTAATGATCGAAGCCCGAATCCTTTAGTGTAGGTAAACTTTCCCATTTTATTGGCCGCGGCGAGCACAACACCGGGTATGCTACCATCGGCACATGCTGTCTCGATTGTCTTTTCGACCGAATCCATCCCGACTCTCGTTGACTGAGGAGTGCTGATACTACACAATGGAGGATATCTCATGTTAATAGTAGTTGTACCTCTGAATCCGGTGATGTTCGAGAGCGATAACACCAGAGGAGGATATCAATTGCTACAAGACGAATGTGCTCCAACCAGATGAGGTGTAATCAATCTAACATTTTTGCCGTTCGGCAAGAAGGGTGCTCTTCGTCGGGCAATGGCGACCGGCCTTTCGTAAAAGGAGGTGGGAACCTGGTTGCGGTATAATCCCGGACGGACCAGGGGTACCTATGCTAAAGCCTTACGGGTCAAACGCTAGGTGACGAATTGTGAAGAACACAGAAGGAAAGAATGCAAGAGCGGAATTAAAATTAAAGAAAATTATGAAGTCTCCTGGAAAGATCTCGAATTTAGGAAAGCTCCAAATGATTGATCTCGCTTCTGACATCCACCCATCAGCCAACCAGCACGGGGAGCGTGATTCATGTCTGCTCAAAATATAAGGTCGGAAACTTTCCCCGATTCACTTGTTCTCATCAAACCATATTGTACCGAGTCTGGATGCTCTTCTGTCCCAAACATGATAATCCTTGATAGCAAAGTCTAAAGGGGTTAAAGACGGCAGCCTCGTCTCCAGTCGACGTTCAGCACCCCTCTGTCTCTAGAATAGTATCCGATTTGTGAGACGCCCAATTCGGCTGATATCGACCGTAACCTCATCTCCATGCTTCAAAAACTGTGGAGGCTTCATGAATAGCCCAACTCCGCCTGGAGTACCCGTCATGATCAGAGACCCTTTTTGCAGCGTCTGACCTTGGCTACAGAAGGCGATGAGTTTCCGTACACCAAAGCATAGATCGCCGGTGTTCCCATTCTGCCTCACCTCACCGTTCACGAGGGTCTTCAATGACAGATCATCGGCCGCTCCTAGCACATGCGAGGCGACTAAGCACGGTCCAAGCGGAGCATACTTATCAAAAGATTTGCTAAACGTCCATTGCGGAACTGGCCCTGCTTTCGCTGGTTGACGTTGCCAGTCGCGAGCTGAGACGTCGTTTCCAGCGGTGTACGCAGCGACGTATTCCAAAGCATTCTCTTCCGTTATGTCCTTGCCGGATTTACCAATGAGAACCACCAGCTCGCCTTCATAATCGCATTCATCCTGGGCTATCGGTGGAATGGGAATGTCTTCTCCATGCCCAGCCACGGCAGGTGCAGGCTTGGTGAATACAGTTGGGCTTTCAGGAAGTGGTCGTCCGGTCTCAAGAACTGAACATGTAAGCATTTTATTTTCGTTCAAGCTGGAAAGTTTTCATACTATGTGTTTTATAGTTGAGCCCAACACATCGAATTATAGGCACGTCCTTAGGTTCCAAAGGACCCAGAAGCTCCTTCACTGTGTCCAATTGGCCTGTGGGTATTGCCTTCAGAGGATCAGACCCTTCCAATGCTCGAACTTGGAGCTTTCCCGCGCTGGCGAGGCTTGCCACGTCTGCATCAGGGTTTTCAAGGATTGGCTCCCCATATCGAACTTCATTTGTTCCCTTTGCCGGAACGTAACGTACGAGACGATCCCAAGCGACAAGCTTTGATGGCATTCTTGAGCCTGCCAGTTCTCTGCTAGGTAAGTAAGACTAAGACTAGAGGCAAATCACTGACAAATTTATGAGATGCTGCAATGCTAGCTTGTTGCTCGTTGCCAGGGGAAGGGGGGGCTTTCAAGCAAATATTGCCATGGCACAAATAGCTGTAATATGCTTTCGGATTTAGTATGTCGTCTTCAGAGTAGTCCCGGATCTGCAGGTGCTTTCGTATCCCAGACTTGCTTAGAAAGTAATGTCCCGACCTGTATCTTTTCGACAGGCGACGTTTAAAGCCCGACGGCCATTAATACAAGGTGCAAATTCCCGGAGGATTATTGTCTCCTGGCCAATGAAGGGTCGCCCCACAGGATTCGTTCTGGCTTACTTGGTACTTAAACCAAATATCGGCGATGGAACTCCTGTCATGTCACTATTGCTTGTTCTATTTGAATTCGGTTAGATATCTCAGCCGTGAGGACGAGCTGCGGACCTTGTCTAAGATTCAGAATGCCCATCCCTGTGGGCGACCCCCGCATGAGGCTCCTCAAAACCGCCTTTGTCATCTACTATCACGCTGACCTTGCCAAAGCGCGGCAGTTCCTATTGGATTTTGGGCTGTCAATAGTCGAGGAGTCCCACGGCAAAATCTTTTTTGCGGGTTATGGTTCCGAACCATATGTCTATATTGCAAGGCAAGCAAAAAGTGACAGCGAGTTCGGAGGCGCCGCATATGAAGTGGAGAGTCATGAAGAGCTCGAACGGGCAACCAAAATTGCCAATGCGACTCCAATCTTCGAAGTGGACGGTCCTGGGGGTGGTGAAGCGGTCACTCTGACAGATCCTGTTGGTCACAAGGTGCACCTTGTCTACGGTCAAACACCGAAGCAGCCAGACAATCCAAATCTTGAAAAACTCACACTGAATTATGAAGACGAGAAACCGAGAAAAGGCCGATTTCAGCGGTTTACGCATGGCCCAGCACCAGTACATCGCTGGGGTCACTACGGTGTGACCTATCCGGAGGGCAAGTTCCAGGAAATGTATGACTGGTATACCAGTACTTTGGCATTGGCGCCATCAGACGTTGTAGAGCGGGACGGCAAGCCCATCACCGCCTTCTTCCATATCGACAGAGGTCTAGAGTTTACGGACCACCACGCCTTTTTCTTCAAAAGAACCAAACCAGGCCAAAAGCCAAGCGTTGCTCATGCGGCTTTTGAAGTCCACGATTTTGATATCCAACAGTTAGGTCATCAACATCTGACTGCGAAAGGATATCGTCCGTGCTGGGGAGTGGGAAGGGTATGCTACTACATCTTCCTATGCAAGTTAGTGCCTACTGATCTTGTCTCCTTTATTAGCACGTTTTGGGTAGTCAAGTTTTCGACTACTGGTTCGACACAAGTCAATTCGTGATGGTAGGTGGCTCTTCCCCTCCGACCATGTTGTATTCGAATTCTTGACACCATCTACAGGAGCATTACGCTGATGGTGATCTGGTCAACTCCGAGACCGAGGTCGCTCACGTTCCAGCAGGACCTGAGGCACTTTATGTCTGGGGGCCTCCAATTCCAGAAACATTTTCGTAGACTGCTAGAGAGTCGTCTATGCTAGTTTCCTAGTGATACTACAAGCCGTTTCCGTGTAATTTTCATCGGTCAATTGGTCGGTCGCAGCAAACAAAATTCCAACAAAACTGGGGTCTGAATTTATGCTCCACTCCAGCTTATAAGTCACAGACTTTCCAGGGAAGCAGGACAATGAAAAATTACAACTTCCGAGTTTAAGGTTATACTATGTTATAGTTCTAAAATGCCCTTTATCGAGCGCAGACATGGCTGGGAAGCCAATAAAAAAATTATTAAAGACAGTAAATGATAAGTGCCTTCCCTCAATGTGGTTGGATCTGCAGATGATGGGTCAACGATTCGTCCCGGAGCCGGAATCTTCGGACACTCACCCAAAGCCCGGTGAGACATCTAGCATCTACCTCCAAAGGCACAGTTATTTGGTTACCTCAGTTCCTTGGCAGACAATCGTCGGAATCGACATGGATCGGTACATTTCCGCACCCGGCAATTGCAGGCCAACCAAGTTAAGGTCCTCTTCGCTGAGAACGTCTGATGTCCTCGACTCTCGCTCCGCATTCGCCTCGCGATTAGAACTGAGCCCATCGCCAAAAATAATTTGCAAAGCCGTGGATTGAAGCATTCGGACTTCAACAATACGATCGCCTCATTTCGCTCGTTCGCTTTGTTGACAAGCCTAACGGAAATCTCAGAGTACTGTGTCAGAAATACCAATTCACAGCCACGCCCCTGAGTGTTTACTCACACGAGCAGCTTCAGAGAGAGTATCAACTATCGTTCATTCAAGCACAGTTTACAATTAACAGCATGGTTTTCCGTCCTGGGCCGCTGGCTGGGAACCTCCGGGAGATTCCAGACACCGTTCCGCTTTGCGACTTCATGCTAGATGAAAGATACGGCAGACGACCGATAGCTGAGTCCTTGGACCCGTTCGTGTGTGGAATCAGTGGTAGAACGGTTTCGGCACAGCAGCTGAGGGATCGTGTCGATCATCTGGCCAAAGGGTTGGCGCAACATGTTGGGTGGGTGGCAAACGATGGTACAGAATTTGATAAGGTAGCAGTCATCTTTGCGCCTAACACTGTACGTACCTTGGACGATGGTAGACGAGTTGGTTCTGCACAGTACTTACAGGCGATAGATTGACACCTTGACAATTTCGTGGGCTATTCATCGCCTTAACGGTCTATCATCACCGGCAAACGCAGTCTACAGTGCCGAAGAGCTCCAGTATCAGCTCGACATTTCGCGAGCGACAGTTCTATTCACCGTTCCATCATTGCTACCAATTGCTTTGAGAGCGGTTTACAAATGTAACCTCAATCAAGACCATGTCATTATCTGCGAGATGCCTGGCGAGCCTCAACCGCCAAAGGAGTATCAGACGGTATCGAATTTAATGGAACAAGGCGCCACACTACCAGAACTGGATGTTCTCAGGTGGACCAAGGCACAGGGCAGGCGTCAAACAGCCTTCCTTTGTTTTTCCAGCGGTACATCAGGCACTCCAAAAGCCGTTATGATCTCTCACTATAATGTGATTGCTAATGTTTTGCAAATCCAACTCTTCGAGCAACATATACGCGACGCTATCGAACCGGGCTATCGTGATGTCACCCTGGGATTAATGCCTTTCTCACACATCTATGGTCTTGTTGCTATATGCCACACTGCGGTCTACAGAGGGGACGGCATTATCGTTCTTCCAAAATTTGTCTTCAAGGATTTTCTCGCGTCAATTGAGAGGTTCAAGATCAACACGCTTTCGGTTGTACCTCCAATTATTATCACTATGGTTAAGAACAAGGCACTCTGCGACCAGTTCAATTTAACCAGTGTCAGGCAAATCATGACTGGTGCGGCTCCACTTGGCCAAGAAACTGCTCAAGAGTTTGCTTCACAGTATAGCAATTGGGTGACTCGACAAGGCTACGGCATGACTGAAACTGCGACGGCTGTCACCAATACCAGTCCTCTCGATGTATGGTTTGGCTCTTCTGGGTGTCTCCTGTCTGGCGTTGAGGCGAAGCTACTCAGCCCAGAAGGTACTGAGATTACCACCTATAACACGCCCGGCGAGCTGTTGGTGAAGGCTCCTAGCGTTGTCCTGGGGTATCTAAACAACCCGGAAGCCAATGAAGAGACCTTTATTGACATGGATGATGGTCGCTTTGTCAAGACTGGCGATGAGGTCGAGTTTCGCAAAAGTCTTGCAGGCAACGAACACGTCTGGGTGGTGGATCGGATAAAAGAGTTGATCAAGGTCAAAGTACGTTTACCCCAGCGCAGTCGTCGTTTTCATTCGACCTATCACCTGGCCCTTTATTTATCTCTCTTTCTACTATTAGCGCTCACGTTCCGAAGTCAAATCACTGACGATCTCTTGAATCAGGGTCTTCAAGTTGCACCTGCAGAGCTCGAAGCATGCCTTCTAGAGCATCCGGCTGTAGCCGACTGTGCTGTAATCCCTGTCGCTGATGAGCGTGCAGGCGAAGTGCCCAAAGCCTTTGTTGTCAAGTCTGCTGCTGATTCCACAGACGACGAAAATGTTATCAAGCAAAGCATTTTGAAACATGTTGAGAAGGCCAAGTCACGTCACAAATGGCTCGCTGGAGGCGTGGAGTTCGTCGACATTATTCCCAAAAGCCCCAGTGGCAAGATTCTACGGCGTCTGCTACGCGATGTTGAAAGAGAGAGGAGAGGCACGAAAGCGAAACTCTAGAGGAGAAACGTGGAGATTTTTTTTTTGCATCCTATGGAATGGGGGCAATCCAAACAGTCAAAGATTCGTAGATTTACCAACACCATTAAAGCACGGCAGAGCATAGGAAATTACGAAGGGCCTCAAACATACTAGTTGTTCGTCCAGTATATTAGCAGATAGACGAGAAGTAAAATACGATGAGCCTGTTGTTCCGCCCTTGTTTCAGCTTCATAATCCGATCAAAGAATGTAGAGGTTCGATCGCTTTCTGCCCGACAAGATGGTGTAATTATGTGCATTTTTTCCCCTTCTCCAATCAGAGTTCTCTGGCTATGCATTTCTGTCAACGAGAAGCATGATCGAGTTCTCCCAGCAATAATCAGAGCCCTCCATTACCCCTAATTTCCTAGTATCTGCTCCAGGACAGAGGATAGCTTAGAAACCGGATCTAGCACAAGCTCATGACAACGCCAGCCAACAAAATGGTCAGGCCTGACGAGGACGGCACCTGTCTCGCTTACACCACGGACCTTGACCCAGTCCCGATAGCAGTCCATATAGTCGCACCTGAAACCTATAGTGTAACCCCTGACGGGGACTTTCTTCGAAGCCGATATCATTTGTGCGGCCTGCACCCAAGGTTCTCCGCCAATTCCTGTGAAAAGTGTGAAACCTCCGTGACCACTTAGGTCCAGTGTGGAAATTCTCTCGGACTGACTGTTTGGTGCTAGCCATACGTGAGGGAGATGGTAGCCAGGAAAAGTGCTGATCCAGACTTGCCTGATAGGGTTCAAACTGCTGAGATCCGGGGGTGCATCGTCAGGCTCTACCACAGTCGCCGGCGACGATAGGTATCGTTGGTTCATTTGAATGCCCAGCGCCTGTACTTCATCCTCAGTATCTTCTAGTGCGTTCCGCACCTTTTCGCGCATCTCTACCCCAGATGTTGCGCTCGACTGCATGAGATCAGTCGCCTTCTTGCGTGCTTCTGGGTCTAGTCCGAGCAGATCCCAAAGTCTCCTGTGAGCCTCCATACCACTATTGGCTCGCCGGACGATTCCATCGCCGACTGGTTTGCGTTCTATTGTCAACGTTTCTAGTAGAGAGGCTGAAGCCCAGCCTTTCAAAACATAGGCCAGCTTCCAGGCAAGGTTGAACGCGTCGGATATACACGTATTGCTGCCGAGCCCGTTGATCGGTGGATGACGATGCGTAGCATCTCCAATACAGAGAACTCGACCCTTCTGCCATCGCTCAGCTACCTGATCGTTGATTGTCCAAGAGAATGTCGACAGAACATCAATTTTGACCGTATCATCGCCAATCATCTGGTGCAGTCGCTTGATTATGTCCTCTTCGCTTGGTTGAAACGTTTGAGAATCTTTTGTCGATGGATGCATAGACACAACAAACTCAGTCCAGGGCCTAACCATGCGAAAATTGCCCACAGCTGACCATTCTGGAGCTTCTGTATTCAAGACCCAATTCAAACTCCCCGGCCGGTGGGATATGAATTTGGTCAGATCCGCTTTGATGTGAGTGTTAAATGCCGTATTCAATTGTCGGCCAAGTACTTTGATGCCTAAGCTGCCCAGTACAGCGCTTCTCGCACCATCAGCGCCCACCATCCACTGAGAAAATACTTTGTACTCCCTGTTGTCTTTGTGATTGCGCAGAGTTGTAATGACTCCTTCGTTCGTCTCTTCGAGGGATACAAAGCTAGTCGAAAATCGGAATCCAGCGCCTAGTTTGGTTGCTTCCTCTACCAACACAGGTTCCAGAACGCTTTGCGGTAGATCGGACATCACACTTGGGCTGGCAGCTTCGTAATCTCCCTTCTGGCTCGGTTTGTTACCCCATGCCCACATCCGCCCGTATTCCTCCCCGTTGAGCGAATCCAGCCACGAAGTGTGCTGCATATCTAGGGCAGACGTCAGCATCTTCCGCGAGGTTCTGGAATCAAAGGACACTTGCAATGAGCAGGACTGCTGGCCGGCATCAACTTCGCCTCGAGATCGGCATCCCGTAGCACTTCCATGGCTCTCTGGTTGAAAATGTGCGCTCTTGGTGTGCTGGCAGTAGAAGCATGCCTTGATATTGCAAGTGACTTGATACCCATATGAGCCAAGAGCAATGCCGTTGTAGCCCCCGAGGGACCGGCTCCGATGATCAAGACTGGGACTTCCTCCATTTTAGTATGCCTTCGAATGAGCCGCTGACGGTAGCCTTAAACTCAAGGGCGCAGAAGGGACGCTGATACTATGCAAGTGCTCAAGTGCTATAAGTGTCACAAATCTGGACACGGCCACATAAAGAATGCGGATGGGCTTGACCAACGGAACCGTAACTATTCGAGTCACGGAGATTGAATCTCTTCCTATGAAAAGAGGCCCAAACTCCCTAAAGCATCGTGATGGCCAGTGGCGCACACGGGCTATTCCTAAAGAAAAAGGGGTCGGTCCATGACGGAACTTGGCGATTGAGAAACAATACAAGACGTCTCTCCTGGTCATCCCACCCGTCGGGGATAAGAAAATTACCAGCCTCAAATTAGTATTTGACAAATGTAAATATTACTTTGGTGACCGCTGTGGTCACGAGCGGCAAGATTTGTCACCCGATGTCTGAGAGAAAGCATGTTTAGTTGCGGAATTTCGGGTAATTTCCTCTTACGGTGGTGCAATACCTTCGGAAATATGACACTGGCAATGCCTTGCCTAGAACCCCGGCCAAATCCTCCCTTCCCTATGAGGCAAACACAACGTCTCTTAAACCGGATTAGAATATCTGTTCGACTTGGTCCATATCTTCTGTGTCGTCTGAAAAGAAAGCACGTCTAGAATTGCACAGACAGAACATCAAAATGGCGTCAACAAACGGTCACGCAGCAACTGACGATACCACCAGTCCTAAATTCAGTACAAGAATGTTCCACTGGACTGATGCAGGCTCAAAGAAAGCCACACGGCCAGAAGACCCATACAAGTATCTCTGTGGCTTTGGTAATGAGCATCAGTCGGAGCTTATCCCAGGTGCTCTACCAATTGGCCAGAATTCACCCCAGAAATGCCCCTACGGCTTGTACGCCGAACAACTCACGGGCTATTCTTTCGCTGCGAACCGTGCGAATTCAGGAAGGAATTTTCTTTACAGGCGTCGCCCGGCTGCTGTCCATCACGAGTACTTGAGAGGAGAAGACAATCCAACCCTCAAAGCTTCGTTCCTACCTCAAAAGGACGAGTTGCATACGATACCATCACAGGTGTCGTGGACGGCATTCAAAATCCCAGAAAAGTCTGGTGGGATCGTTGACTTTACTCAAGGTTTGCACACTCTTGGTGGAAGTGGGCATCCACATCTCCGCGAGGGAATCGCTTATCATATCTATGCCATAAACAGCAGCATGCCCAACAAAGCTTTTATGAATATAGATGGAGACTTCTTGATTGTTGCACAAGAGGGACACCTTGATATCATGACCGAATTTGGACATCTATATCTTCAGCCGTCTGAGCTTTGCGTCATTCAACGCGGCCTCCGCTTTCAAGTCAACATTGTGGAGAAATACTCACCCAACGGCGCTCGGGGATACGTTATTGAAACATGGGGCTCGAGGTGGGAACTCCCGGAGCTCGGTCCTCTAGGAGGATATGGCCTTGGAAACTCGCGCGACTTTTTATTCCCAACAGCGGACGTCGACACCACTTCGACAGGCGAATGGACAGTTGTGACAAAGCAGTTACATAAGTACTACGTTGCTGTCCAACCTCATACACCCTTCGACGTGGTAGCGTGGCACGGAAATTACATTCCATACAAGTATGACATGACCAAATTCGTGGCACAAAATTCCGCGTCCGTGGACCATACTGATCCATCCATCAACACTGTGCTCACCGCCAAATCTCGGGATGAGAATGCGCCCCTCGCCGATTTCCTCATCTTCGGACCTCGCTGGGACGTGGCAGAGAACACTTTCAGGCCGCCTTATTTCCACCGAAACTGCGCGTCTGAATTTCTAGCAAAGATTTACGGACCCTCAGGAGGCGGCCGTTCTGAGGTCTTCGTTCCCGGAGGTGCAAGCTATGAATCAGGATTCACACCACATGGTAGCATCGATGAGAAAACTATCGCCGCAATGGATGCCAAGCTGGAACCCCGGAAAATTTTCCTTGGCAGCCTCGTCATTATGCTAGAGAGCTGCCGGAGCTTACTCTTTACTGACTGGGCAATGAAAGACTCGGGTGTTTTGGCAGCCGAGGATATCCCTGCCGATGCTTGGGAAGTTATCCCGGTACGCTGCCCCCATCCGTTGGCCTGATGGTGTTTGACTAATCATTGACCTTGCAGGATCGTTTTGGCGAGAACGAGGAGGCACAGAAGCTACTTCGGGCTATTGGGAAACTGCCATCCGTCCAACAAAAGAAATAAAGGGAAAAGGACCAGTGATCTTTGAAGATGTAAAAAGACGTATAACTATTACTCCCACGAAGCCCAAAAAAGGTTCTGGGATAGAATGACAACGTCGTATCCTAGGAGGCATACCAGACCAACGATCATCTGTCATTGCTGAAACGACGAGTTACGAAGCTGTCTTATAGGTTGATCTCGTAGTCAGAGCTTTGAACTGAGCCGAGGACAATGAGTTCAGAAGTCGTTCAAGCTTGCCTCTCTTGTTCAATTGCAGAGTGTTTGCCATGGTAGTTTCGTACAAAATCTGGTAAAGCAAAACAAACATGGTTCAGTTGCTGTGCACAGCAGAGTGATGCAGATCACCACTTACTCAAAACGCGATGTCCAATATTCCAATACCGTGCAAAGTGGGTGAGAACAAGTGTCAAAAGATCTTCTTCAAGGGACGATTGCGTTCCAGCTGATTGGCTATCGGTGGGTTTCCGCAACCGAAGTGCCATTCCAAGGTTCACGTTCCCAGGTCCCAAGAGAAGGCAAGCCATAGTTGGAGGGGCAAATGCAATGTGTTCTGGATTCCAGGATTGTAGTATTCGAAAAAAATTTGTTATCGGTTCACGAAATTTGTCGAGGCTCCCGCTCGTGCTGGAGTGGGCTCGAACAACGAACCCTCGCAGCAGCGCAGAGGACATACGATTTGACACCGTAAAGAGAGGTGTGGACATGGTATTCCGTTCCAACAGGCCGAGGATGACGGTGCTCCTGTGAGAGGTTATTAGATGCTCGCTGAACACTAGATTTGGGTATATGTCATACGAGATTGTCATCAGCTTGGTCAAAATCTTCCAGTTGCTTGCATGCACGCTATGGTTGGCAGGGAGGTGGAGCTTTTCGTTAGCAAGGAGCACAAAGCACGCCAGAATAGTCCTCATTTCCTCGATATTCGGTCTAGGCAAGGGTGCCTTTTGACCTTGTTCGTGAATGTAAGCCATGATATAGTTGCTGACAAGAAACCAGGCTCTCTCGTCTTGATTAGGAGACTCTTCAAGGCATTTCCAGAATCGCGAGATGTCTGGATCGAACATGGGCGATGCAATCTGTGATCCTGAGAACCATGCAGCATCAGATACGGGTAACAGTACGTGAACACGATGCCTGGCGATCGCGAATGGCCGCCGGCAGATGATGGCGTCGAATGTGTCGAGCTCCCAGACAGACCACCACGCTCGCCTCTTTTCCTCCCTCAATACCCACTGCTCATTGCTCAGCTGTACCGGTGAGTGATCAGAGTTGTTCAGATAGTCTTCATCGAGAGCGTGTAAGCCAAGTTTATAAGCGTATCGTACACAAACCCCAATCAGAATGTCAGTTCCCCAGGACAAATTTGATGACTGATTGTAATATGCGAATAGGATTGTACCTTGCAGTAGTTTTAGCGTGAGGGCCGCCGGATCAGCGAGGGTCGCACTGCTAAACAGCGCTCGCGCCTGACGTGCAAGGGGGACACCGCGGTCTCTGACATGTGCGGTTTCGAGATACGGTAGGGAAGAATACCGAGCGGACAGGGACATCATCATGTATAGAATAAGAGCAGAGTCCCTGTCTAGATTCACGTATTTTTCATGTATAGGGAGAGTGACATAAGTGTCGTAAAACGTCGGCCGATGAAAGAGGGGCAAAAACCCTTGCACTCTTTCGAAGTACAAATCAATTCTGAGCATTGTTAGATCGAAGCAACTTGACTGGAGGGTTCAGACTTGCAGTTCATCAACCACAGCCGTAGGTACCTCGATGTTTATACCACGGAGATGGGTGGCCGTCTGATTTTGGTGGTTGCTATCAGTCGTAGCTTGCTCCATTGGACTATTGATCGGACATGATTGACCAGGGTCAAACGTAAGGCCTTCATCTGGGTTCCACACATCCGGAAAAGCTTCAGTCAAGAAATTGGACATATCTTGATCAACACAATCGAACTGTAGTCCATCGGACCCACCGGAGGAGAGGAGCGTGGTGTCTATATCGTGCCTATCGGTCAGGCCGCCTACCACTGTCGAAGTGACGGGATGCTGGTCGAGCACAGCTGGTTCGCCTTCCTCGTGCGACGAGGGTGCTTGTTCCGTAGAGGTCAAGACAGGTCGACCTGTGGTCGGGAGGTCTTCCTGCACGTGATTCTGCGATGGATGCGCCTCGACATCTTTCTTTCGCCGATTGTAATGAGCTCGGGCTTTCCGCACAGGATAGACACATTCCTCGTTGTTGCGGACGCAGATTTGACATCGTGGTCTTTGGCCATCACCTATGAACCTGAAGGTAAGCACGTGAAGTGTGGGAGAATAGGCCACCAGAAAGGTGTGGTGATGGGTGTCTACATTTGGTCTTCTTCCTACGGGCTCGGTCAGCCCCGCGCAACCACATAAGAAGATGATTATTTTACCTCTTGCACAGCTCACATGCCCGGTTTATTTTGAGTGGAGGATCCATATCCAGGACTGAGGGCAAAATCTGCTCGGTAGTATGGCCCGGGTTGTCAGAATTGTGCCGGTTTGGGCATGAGAATTGCAGTGGTAGGCAACACAATTAGCGCAATCTTTGCGTGTTGCCGGGGACACCCAAGGAGGATGAGAGTATATGGCCGAGCAAAGGTTTATGGTTCTCCGAAATCCCGATCAGCGCCCCTACTCTCGGTGCCAGTGCGTAAATTGTTCTCGTTCCCCGCCCTCGAGACCGACTCCAAGGGGTACACCACGTTCCCTAGGCCACTGTCAATCGCTAAGATGGGATGTGGTTTTATTTTCTAACAAATCCAACCACTCTTATAAAGGACATTTGAGGATGCGCCCAGGGGCGGGTCTCAGGGAGGGCTCACAAACTCTACAGTTTTTGCTGCCTCCTTCTTGCCCCTTCCTACCCATGGTTCAGTTGCTGAGGTCTGGCCTTTTCCTCCCAAGCTTTTGTTGGTCACAAGGTCGTCGACCCCGCTCTCGAACCGATTTGGGCAAGGTCGGGAGGATAATAATACCCTGAGCACGGATCCATTCTGTCTCGGGCACAATTTGACAAAGCCAAAGTGTCTTTCCTTCCCGTAACATCCCTAACTTCGAGCGTTTGTCTGTGCATACTCCCATATGCCGCAGAAGTTCGGGCGAGGCGCAGTTATTGTTAGAAAATGCCAGAAGCAAGCTCGACCGAACACTTGCTACTCGACAGCCGTGTCCCACTGGACTCTAGCTTCCGATATGATCGAGTTGACCACCCAATGTTTGACCCGATTCATGATTTTCAGCCTTTGAACAGCGATCACAATGGACAATTTCTCACTACTGACTCGAATATACTCGACTTCCTACCAATGTCCGCCCCGGAGCTTTGGCATGACAGTCACAATTCTGGCCAGGATGCTTCTGGATCTGTTTTGACACCAGACCTGAATCCCATGGGCATCCCCTGTCCCACAACCCACTTCGACATTCGCCTGACTCCCCAACAGCCCGCGGAATCGGAGCACGCAGAAAGCCAAACAAGGTATTATTCGATAGATGCTCCAGCGGCCTTGGTGAGTAGCTTGTAAGTTTGGTGTGCCCCAATTACTCTTCGTACTAAATTGTTGCAGGGTGGACATTTACTTCGAAAGAGTGCAAGCATACTTGCCGTTACTCCATCGTCCTAGGTTCTATCAGCAGTATGCGTCAGAACGAGGATACAATGAATTGACCCCAGCATCTGCATTCCTGCTGTATTCGATGATGTCATTTTCGGCTCGCTACTCGTTAGATCCATGCTTTGAAGGTCAGGAGGAAAAGGAGCGAGGCGCATCCTACGCACTCAAGGCACGACGTCTACTTGATGAAGCCCATGAACATGCAGAGTCTGAAATGTTCACACTGGAATGGCTTCAAGGATGTATCCTGTGCGCATACTATCACCTTGCCAGCAATCCAAAGCAAGCCACCGAGCTCTTGGTCGATAAATGCGTCCAAATCGCGTACAGATTAGGACTACATGAAATGGATATGGGAAATGATCAAAATCCGTCGGACCATCATCAAAGCCAGTCAGCCGAAACTCTTCTAGCAGAGATTTGGGTTACCAAAGAGGAACAGCGCCGGGCCTGGTGGTTGGTCTGGGAGCTTGACACATTTCTCTCCGCGACTCTATGTTATCCTTCTACCATCGACCGTTCAAGAATGCACGTGTTGCTCCCAGTCTCAGATGAAGCGTGGTTCATGGAAATGCCTGCCCCGTCTGCCTCAATACACCCGGAGATCTCAATTTGCTGGAAGAGCTTACTGAAGTCACCCAACAGGAGCGAACGGGCATGGTTCTTGGTCAGCACTCATATCGCCACACACATCTATGAACTTGGGCAGCGAGCGAAGGTCCGCGGGAAAGACATCGAAGTCCTTGAAAGAGCCCGATCATCCTTTTACGTCACGTTTTACAAGGAGTTTGGCGATAGTATCAAGGACCCAACATTCGATGCCTCCAATTATGCCAGAAAGAACTGGCTGCTGTTGAGCCAACTGTTGCTAGAATCGTATGGCTATAGGCCCTTGCCCTCCATTTCACCCACTAATGTATTTTTTTTTTTTTTTTAGGACTGGCCTCGTTGTCTCCCTTTTGCTGGAGCCAACTTCTTCTGAACAGCTTTTTACAAATTCTAGCTGCGATGTTGCGCGAGTAACAAATGTCAACGCAATGACAGATGCCTTGGAACTTTCCCGATTGGAGAATCATATTTCACATATAGAGGGGGTTCATCAGGTGCTTCAATCATGGTCATCAGCTTCTGAATACATCCCGTATTTTTCCCCAGTAATGGTTTCCATGCTTATCGGACCGGCATTCATGCACGTACGCCTGGCATGCTACTCAAATGGGTCCGCGAGGTCAAGAGGAACGCTTAATTCGCAAGGGCGTATTTTAGAGCTCGTTCTGGCTCGGTTCGCTCGATATTGGGAGATTGGAGATATCATATTCAGTGAGTACTGTTTGCGTTGCAGAGCACACTTGTTGATTGACATCATCCAGGAGCCTTCTCTGCATCCCTCGAGGGCTGAGATGGTGTTGAACTCAGCTATGCACTTCCCAAAAAACAGATAGCGCTACCTACCAAAATTTGGCTTGGACAGACACAATTGCTACTGTACGAGCATATCGTGACGCGCCTTGGCTGCCTGCCAAAAGGCACCAGTGTCCTTTTCCTCGATATCTCGCCATTATCGATGCCTAGGATATCTTCCTGGAGCGTACTGCAGCCTAGAAAGACCACTGCCCTGCCTATTTAGGCTAGGAAACCGCGTGTCTTGTCTTCAACAAACAGTGTTGCCTGCAGAGGACGACGTAGTCACTTTTTCTGCCTATTCCTTGTCTTTTCTGTGCGTTTCGGGCGTTCTGTCTCGATAGATATATATCAGACAGATTCTCTGTTTTTCTCAATAAAAGGACAGAGCCAATGCCAACTATCAACTCTTCCTAGCAAAGGACAACAGATCGCATTTATATCTCATTGGCATAGTCCTCTAGGAAGTCAATCTTCAAGGTGTACAAGCCAGCTTTCCGCAGGGCACTCCTTCCTCTCGACGCAACCCGCTCAATGTCTTGTCTCACATCAAAGTACATACCCCTCAACTCTTTTGCTTGGCCAGTGGCCAGATAAGCACAGGTCATCCCGCAAAGACTTGGGTCAGTCTTCAGGAACTTGTGAAACTCCTTCATCATCTCTGCGGCCGCTGGGTATCGCTCGGCGACATCTGCTGGAAATGATGCTGATTGATATCGTAAGCGTTTTTTCACTCCCAAGAACAGATTCCCACGGGTTTACCATGCGTTCAGTCTATGCATGATTGGGTGGTACTTCTTACATGCTCCTAGCGCACTTGGAACGCCTCCAGGGTGCAGAGAGAATATTTGAATTTTGTCTCCTAGACCATCTGCTTCCAACTCTTCTTGGATGGATGCTGTAGCACGAATGATGGCAGTTTTACTATCCGTATAGCCTAGTGCGAACGGACAATCGAGTGTCCCAGCCCGGGAAGATATGTTTATGATGGTCCCAGACCCACGCTCGCGCATGCCTGGAAGGACCGCAAAGATGGTGCTCATTACCTAACCATGCCAGTCAGCCACGTAATTCGAGACCCCAAAAAATTTACCAGAGAGGAAAGCACGTGTATCTCACACTCTTATAGTTGACTTCAAAACATCTCCAGTATCCCTCGAAGGTATCCATACAAATGGGCCGACCTCGGGTCATACCCGCATTGTTCACGAGAATGCTGAGTTTGATTGACGCTCAGAATTCGAAATTGACAAGAGTTTGGTCGAGAGGGATCTTCTTTGTAATTACTTACTCAACAGCTCCTAAGTCTTTCTCGATATCTCCCAACACCGTCCTCATACGTGCGACATCCGTGACATCGCAGTTATAGTATACTGACTTGACATTCAATGATTCGCAGGCTGTCTTCGTCTCGGAAGCATCTTTCAAATCCAAAATGGCAACATTCGCTCCAGAATGGGCAAGGGCCTCAGCAATACTCTTCCCGATACCTGGGAAGCAAGTCAGCAATGGAATCTATGTTCCTTAACCCTATACATTTGCGTACCTTGTGCGGCGCCTGTAACTACAGCGACTTTTCCTTTATTCTTCCCTACAATTTTTTTGGGGACCAGGGGGCCATAAGGGGTATGCTGCAAAGGGACTGCAGAAATGGCAAACTCATTTGGATCCATGGTTGATTCTCAATCGTGGTCTACCGCCGAAAATGGCACGAGTCATAAAACCCAATGGCGCTGTCCGAGCTTAAGAGGCTCTGCAGTCCATTGGCCTCCCCCGGCAATTTCTCCCAGTGCGATAAAAGCAAATCCGCATGTACTTAAAACCCCGGCGAGCATTGTAGACCACACTTTTCACGGAACAATCCCTCTGACCAGCAGGACAATTCGTCAGTCACGAGCAATGGTAGACCAGTAAATTCGAAAACATTCCGTCACTCCCCAAGAACAAGCCAAGTTTGAAGACCACATCTGGGGCAATAATAATACAGTAGCGATAGGTTCGCGTTCGACATCTAAGCCTCTGTCCAGCTGAGAGATCACGTACAGATGCTGATATGATTTCTTGAACTAATCCACCAGTTGGGCTCGGTCAGCTCTTCCCGCGTCGTCTCTCCAAAGATTGCTGAGCTGGTGGCGGTAGTTAGTACGACGGGCAGCCGTATGGCATCTGGATGTGTCGGAAGCACGATTCGCAAGGGACAACACCTCTCTTTGATTCGCCATTGGGAAAAGCGGAAACCGTAGAGCCGAAGAGATGCTGCGGGGATTAAACTACTTGCCCCTTTTAATCCCGGGATCCCCGAATCCCCGGATTCGTGCGTGAGAACAAATTTTGGAGGTCGTGCCCCGGCACAGACATGGCACACCCCCATATCTCTATATATCTTAATTTGAGGACGCGGAAGCCCGTTCAGCTTTGGAAACCTCAATTACCTCCTTCACCATGCCTCTGGGTATTATTGACGTCAAAACTGATGCCGCTGGCCACCATGTCCCTGGTACGGTCTTGTTGGAGGATTCTAACATCTATCAACATTCTCACGTCAAAAAGGGCACAGGCAAGGAGGCCAACATCATCTTGGTGCCTCAACCGTCCAATGATCCCAACGATCCTTTGAACTGGCCCTGGTGGCAACGCGACCTGATTCTAATACTCTATTGTTACCTCAGTCTCCTTGTTATTGGAGGGTAAGATAGTCCAGCTCACTCAACGCAATATTAGCTAACGAGCCCCAGAATTGGCCCGGTGCTGGCGTCTCTGGCCCTCGTCCTGGTTGAGGAGTTTGGAATCACATTTACCCAAGTATCGCTCCTCACTGGATACCAGCTTTGCGCTGTCGGCGCTGTGGCAATTTTCGTGTCGGCGCTGTGTCGAAAATTCGGCAAGCGTCCAGGTTTCGTCATCTCTGCTACCCTCTGCTTCGCCGGATGCCTATGGGCAGGAGCAGCCAACTCGTACGGCTCTCTGGTTGGTGCTCGTGTGCTCCAAGGACTAGGAATTGCTGTGTACGAGAGCGTCACCTTCGCCGTCATTGGTGACATGTACCACGTCCATCAAAGAGGCACCCGCATGGCAATATTTGTTGTTGCAAATGTCGGCATTGCTCATCTGCCATCCATCGTGGCCGGCAAGGTCACAATGGACCTTGGTTGGAGATATGTCTTCTGGATCCTATGTGCCTTCATGGGTTTGGGGTGGATACTCATCATCCTTTTTGGATGGGAAACGGCATACAACCGAGATGCGCTGTTTGACACTGATACGTCCTCGGAAAATGTGAGTACCACATCCGACTGTGCCATAAATTTATCTTAACCTGTACAATAGAACATCGAGGTCATTGAAATTATGAAGACCGAGGCTACCCACGAAGAGAAGACCACTGGCGATCTCGAAAGAACGACCTTGAGTGATGATCAACCAAAGGTTCGCGACTCCTACCTCAAGAGGTTGAGACTTTACTCCGGCACGTACGACAAACAATCGCTTCTCTGGATGATCATCAAACCCCTGATCATTTTGATCAATCCAGTCGTCCTGTGGGCTGTCCTTTTTCTTGCTTTGACGCAGGTTTTCATCCTCGGCCTCGCTTTTACGCTCGCTCAGGTCTTTGGTGTCCCGCCCTATTCTTTGAATACCGCCCAGCTAGGCTACATGCTCGCAGGACCAATGGTTGGCGGCTTCCTTGGCTGCCTCGTGTGTGGCTTAGCATCCGACCCAGCGGTAAGATGGGCCAGCAAAATAAATGGGGGCGTATATGAGCCAGAATTCCGTCTCTGGCTCAGCATAGGAACGCCATTGTTATCTGCACTTGGCTACTTCTTATTCGGCAACATGACTGAACAGGGCAAGAGCCCCGTTGCTATATCCGTCATCTTTGGGATTACTTTCGGCTCCGTTCAGTTCTCGGTCAACAGTATCAGTACCTACCTCGTGGATGGTTTCCGCAACATCAGCATCGAGACCTTCATTCTTGCCATGACCGTCAAGAACTTTCTCTTCTTTGGGTTTTCTTGTGAGTGGACAACATTCTCTACAACAATCATGAGCGAAATACTGATTAGTGCTTTAGACTTCGTGAATGATTGGGTTGCAGGCTGGGGACCTGCAAAGTCCATGGATACAATGGGAGCAATCGAACTTGGCCTTTGCTTGACTACCATCCCCATATACATCTATGGCAAGAAACTCAGGGCATGGTGGCACAACCACGATGTTTTCAGCAAGTTCTGATATCTCAGGACCTGGATGTTGGTGCATCAAGTGGCGGCAAGGAGACTGATCAAGACCAAAGAACAGATTGTATTCCTAGCCCACAGCATCAAGCATTTATATGTGATATAGTCCCTCAAGCATCTCCTCCATCAGTATCAAGCAGGAAATGGATCGACGAAAAAACGATTGCGCCTCTAAGCATATTAAAATGAGGCTATCTCCGCCAACGAGTTAATTTGGTATCCCTCCCACTGAACTTGATGCCACTATATCTAATCCACATGGCTGGATGGATGAATATGTGCCACTACGATGACTAGAGAGCCGTGGATCCGCGGGCAGCTGATCTTTGTATGACAGCAAGCACAGGAAAATTGAAATACCAAGAACCAGGACTACTCTAAGACGCTGGAGATCTCATGATTGTTGCTTGTCATGGGGAATTGTTTACACAAATAGAGTCAATGAGAAGCTCCGGGGTTACAACTCCACAGAAACTGAGCACGTCCCGATGGCGTTTCATAATGGACCTTTTCCTAGGAGAGTCCGGTGAAGCAATGGCGTCTGGGGCCTTAGAACTAAGATCACCTAAGATTGACGCTGGCGCGTTGTCGAACGGACGGCTGAGAGTGCACACGAGGGAATCATTTCGACCTATGAGGCTGGAAATGGAGCCACAGGTAACCTAGTAGGTGACGGAAAACGACTCTGCATTCACTCGTCTGCAGTGACTGTCCTGTAAGTGTAGTTTGGGATTCAGGAACATCCTCCTCTCCTTGTCGAACCTATAAACATGACTCGTCTAAAGCCAGAAAGAGGAGACACATGATCCTAAAATCAATCTCCAATGTGGGCTTTCTGGAATAGTTTCCTAAGCACCTTACTGCTCCGATAATAATATGTGATTAAGTCACAAAGCCGTGCAGGTCTGAGACTATTCAGACTGTTCCACCATGCCTTCTACCGTTGTACTGGGTTCAGTTTCACCAGAAGAGGTTTCTTCATCCAAAGCTCCATAATGGGCTGATCAACCCATGCGTCCTTCTCATCAACAAGACTGATATCAAAATGGTAGATAACATAGGCTAGGATAAGGCGGGCATTGTGCCATGCGAGACTACAGGAATCAGCAAATTGATATCCCCTCACTGCGCTCGATGATCGAACTGAAAAAGTAGGCAAGATACGAAAGAATGGAATACCTACTTTTCACCAATGCAAACCCGTGGGCCGTGGCCGAAAGGTTTAAAGGCACCCCTCTTGTCATCTCGGTACTCAGCTGGTGGATCAGGCAGGAAACGTTCTGGGACAAACGCGTCTGGGTTGTGAAAGTTGTAAGCTGAATGATTTGCCACATAAGGCATAACCGAGCATGTCACCTGCAATCATTGGAAAATATGTCAGCCTCTTCGAGCCGGATAACGGAAAAGGAACAGATCATCTTACCCTTCCTGAGGCGAATGGGCCTGAATATCCGGGATAGTACTCTCCGCAAATCGTGTAACCTTCCTTTGGCACAAGTCGCATGCCACCAGCGGGCACCGCCGGGTATACACGGAGAGACTCTTGAAGAACAGCCTGGAGATAGACTGTATTCTGCAATGATTGAAGAGTGAGTTCATCAGCACTCCCAAAAGATCGGATCTCATCGCAGAGCTTTTTCATCTTATCCAGGTGGGTGCAAAGATACCAGGTGGCGCCAGACAATAGCGTTGCGGTGGTTTCAGTGCCCGCCACCATAAAGTCACTGGCGACAGCATACATCTCTTGCCGAGTAATGCTCTTCTCGTCTTGATTTTTGACGATGAGGCTCCAGAAATCCGGTCTTTCTGTTTGAACAGCCATGCGTTCGTCGACTTTCGCAACGCAGTAACCGAAAAATTCCTCACGGCCCTCTTTCACACTCTTGGGAAGGAGGTATTTCACACTCCGTGCCAGAATTGGCCATCTGGCGATTGCGTGCATGTAGGCCACAGACTTTACGTGTGAAAGAAGAAACGATACCCATGCAGTGTATCTCTCCTGCCTGACAGCCATCATCATTAGTAAAAAAAAAAAAGCCAATGAAATGGCCGTCATACCTACTTCAAAAGACCCAAAGGCTGCCCAAAGCTCAAATCTGCCATGGCCTAGATATTCATCAGTTGAAGGCAGAACATAGCATGCGGGCAGGCATACATCGAAAGTTGTGAAATGATACATTTCAACCATGTTTATTTGGGCATCGGGATGGTCAGAATCACTCTTTTGCAACTCTGCTCGCCTGTTCAAAACACGAATGAGCAGATCTGCATACTTCTTAATGAGCCCTTCCTGTTGCTTTAGAGCTTTGTCGGAGAAAGCATGGTTCAGAGTTCGCCTCAGCCGATTGTGCTGTTCGCCCTTTGATCTGAGCAGGCCCGGCGTTCCAGCCTCCTCGGGGCCGGCTTGCAATGCATCTCTCTCAAAAGCCACAGTGTTGGCTGTGTTGTAACCGTAAATATCCTTCCATGCTTGACCGTCGATAAAACTGAGTTCTTCTGGTGCCACACGGACAACGGGCCCATATTGATCATGTAGCTCTTTGATTCTAAAGATTGCAGTGCCACGGAGACGATTGTAGTAGGCAGGTAAGAGTGTCGCTGCCCACAATTTTGGTCCAGGAACCTTACGAAGCGGATGGAAAAGGAGATTGTAAGTAATGACCAGTGCCGGATATCCCAGAGTCTATTTGAATGGTCAAAAGACGTGCACCAAGAGGAGCATCATGACAAGCTCACCAATAGTAAGATCGCATACAATGCTGCCTTCAGTGGCTCATCTACCAAGTTGACCAGACGAGTGAGAGCCATCTTTCTCAAAACTATAGGATTTGTGCGAGTATGGAACGAGGCGGTGTCAGGGGTAACTATGACCAAGACCCGAAGAAGAAACAGCCTACTCCAGCAAGAAATATGCTAGCCAGTCGAGGCCCGACGATAGTAGTTGGGGATGTTGTAGAAGCGCCTCGGAACTTAGCGGCATTATGCCGGCATTATCTCAAACAACTCGTCGTGGAGCAACTTTTTCAGGGGTCTCCCACACATTCTCCTTACCAAATCCCAATGCCGATACTTGTTTCGATGTTACTTCCGTTGCCGGAAGTATTTAGTTTAGGTATCTAATGCCGAGTTGAACGACCCTTTTTGCAGTGCAAATGGTTGAGGCACGATGTCGGCTTGTGCGCCCCTTCCTAACGGTCTTTATGGGCTCGTAACAAAAGGGGTTTGTGTCTCTCATCCGCACCGGGGTACGTGGGACTTAGCTGCTACCTTCGAAGAAAGCATGCACATTTGATGTCTACGGTGTTTTTTTGTTCCTGAGGCGCTAAAGACATATGAGCAGAAAATTAATGGAGGTTATGAGCCCCCAAGCTAGCAGCTCGACGAGAAACAGTACTTAGAACACTGTTCAGTGCCCGAACACATTCATGAGAATCTCTGCGTTAATGATATCAATGCCGACAGTGGAAATCTCTGACGATCCTTCAGTTAGTATATTCCACGCCTTTTGAGCAGAATCTTTGCGCAATATCCGCTGACTTGCTTTAGAGGCATCGTCATATGCATCGTCTATCCAGTACGCATTTAGCATTGTAGTCGGTTTCTGGGACCTTCCTATACCCAGCAGCCTAACAAGCGAGAATCAATGGAAGAAGCGCTCAAGCACTTTTCCTGCTCTCGATGGACGGAACAGCATTTACATGACTCTGCCTACGAGCAGGTACAAACGTATTCGCGGCTGAAGAAATCGACGGGGGAAGACTACTATATGTCACGTACCCTGAACACCCCATCTACAATACCTCACTGGATGACGCTTCGACGGCGTGATTTCAACACCAGGAAGTCTCCAGCCACATCAAAATCGACAAATGAAGTACGATCCAGCATCAAATGGGGCCCCAATGGTCCACAGAACCCAGATGTGATCTTTCTTTTAGCACTGGGAGAGAAAGGCATTGATAGTCATCCATCCACGGCACATGGAGGAGTGCAATGCGCAATTCTCGACGAATGCATGGGTCTAACGATCATGTTTCACTACAATAGTGTCTTCAAATCCAGGCCGGATGACACTGGTCCTAAAGACCCTGTCTTCACCGCCAAGTTGACTATCTCCTTCCAGAGAGCTGTCAAGACGCCTGGAAATTACGTTGTGAGGTCATGGTTAGTGAGTAACGAAGGGAGGAAATGGATTGCAAGGGCTCAGCTACTGGATCAAACTGGATCCGTTGCCACCGAAGCTAAGGGATTATGGGTAGAGGCTCGGAAAGGTCGTCTTTGAAGCAGATTATTAGGTCTGTTAGACTAATTTGATAGATCAGTGATCACAGAGGTCCATTGCCACGCGCTTATGATGCGATTCGACTGATTGCATTTAGTCCAGGTTCAGGAGGTCAAGGCGGCCGATACCAAGAAATACAGCAACGGGGGAGCTTACCGTTATAACGGATACGTTGCAAGCATAATGTGCTCATCGAATGACTAAAGCAGAAATAACGAGAGCGTCTCTTCTTTCAGTCGTTTGCTTCTCGAGACGGTCAAGCATGTGATCCTCGGATCCGGTAATTTGCTATAACAAGTACAGCAGCAGCAGCTTCCGTGGCCAGCATTGATCGTGAGACGTTCCCACAGATTAAGATGAATAGGCAATCATCAATAAACAGGGTGCACATAAGTCAGCACATTTCTCATTGGGGATCTGGATCGGCTCGTAGCTTCTGACGCCACTGGTATTCAAATCGATCATCCTCAATGTCCGGCCCGGGAATTCGAAAATAGCCGGAGGCCGGTGGCTGGAATCTTCTTCCGATTCCCGGCAGTTCCAATCAATGCCAAAATGCCGCAATTTTTGAAAAGGGGGTGCTTCTGAGAGTGAACCAAATTCAGGCGTATTGAGACTGAGCTTTTGCAATAAAGGCCTTTGGAAGATTCTGCGGATCAGGATTTCCGACTGAGAGTGATGGTGCCACTTGCAGAAGCTCTTTAGAGGATACGTTGAAGGCTATATTCGGATCAATCATCAATTACCACATTGACATTGTGGAACAGTCTCACCAAGTATTTCCCTTATACGATGGCAGTACCCAGGGAATATGTGGCTCTCACTCAGCTCGGCTTAAATGAAGGCCACTCGCTAGAAATTGAATCATCATCCGAGGACACAGAGAAGAATCTCACCTTTACCGAATGGCGGTCAACACAGAACCAGCGCCTCGAGGGTATCGTGATGCCTCTCATACCTCCCGCCGAATGCTTTCAGCAGGTGATTCCACGCATGGCTACCAAACCGAGACCCCTTGGTCCCGATGCTGTTCCAGAAATGGGGGCGAATCTTCTGAATAACCCACACCGCGCATCTTCTCATGAAAGAATTTCCGAACGCACGCAGACGAAATCAATGGCTAGACGTGCTGATGCCTCTTTGCCAAATACTCCTGAGTTCATGGATCGTGATAACTTCCAAAATTCTGCTTCAAGCAGCGACATGTTCAGCACCTTCCTTTCCATGTCGACAATTACCGACAACGAAAGGAAATTTTTTGAGGAATTGATTCCAAACTACAACCCAGAGGAGCGGCTTTCCGAGGCCTTCTTACTACAGCATGCGCAATACCGCGATGGACATTTCCGAGAAACACAAGTTACGAAATGGGTTATCTGGAAGTGACTGTCAGTCCGCCACACGAGCGAGTGCAGCAATCCAAAGTTTGGCGGTTCCGGGAGGTCAAACTTCGATCAAAAGTGGCAGGAAGGTTTCATCGTTGAAGCTTCGCAACGCTTTCTAGGCGAAAGCCGTAGAGAAGCACCTCGTCCTGAATAGATTAATCTGCGTCGAGAAAAGGGCGAGTCACTGCGCAACTTGCTGTCTAGACCTCAAAGTTCAGATGCGATGAGCTACATGCTCAGTCCGACGGACTATTCATTGGTCATTGTATTTCGTTGGGAACAATGGGCGAACCCAGATGCATTGTATCTCTACATTTGAATCCTGAGTTACAGGAAAGTCATACTGCTGCATGACTTTTTGCGCCCGTGTTCCAAGTTCGACATCGTGGATCCTTTGGAAAGAAGAGGACGTGCATATATCTGTCGGGGCAAGCGTGCTTTGCTATAACGGCCGTGCACTGCATCAGAATCAGAGCACGCTTTCAGGCATCTGTGAGATGTTTTCAGTCGCATGCTGGTACACATCACCAGGGTATTTTGCTCCAGTCGAGGCAGTCAGAGATCGAACCTGGGGATTGCGATCTGTGGAGTCTCAGGCTGGTGACCACCACGGACGCGACGTTGATAGGTGAACAGTTTGTTTGGTTTCCCACCGCGTTTGGGCGGCCGATCCACTTGTCCAGTATGTCCGGCGGGATGGGCATTAAGAGCTCATTAGATCGTTAGGAATGGAGGTCAAGTTGAGTAGTATGGTCGTTATTCCAGGGTATTTTTGGGGGAATGAAAATGTTTATAAGGTCTAAAAGGAAAGTTAGGAAGAGTAAGTTTCAAAGGAGAAAGGGATGGGAGAAAGGGTTTATGATCGAAGGAAGGGGCTTGTGTTCTCGTCCTTCACCACGTCGCTGAGGGAGTCCCCGATCGTCTTCGCCGTCTCGATCGTGGGCGGGTCCAACATCTCGATGACGGGCTTGATCCCGTTCGGGGGGCCGTCTAGGCCCGACGCCTGCATGTACATCACGAGTGCGTCCGCGAGCAGAGCGGTGAGGTCGATCTCCCGCTCGTCCTCCTCGCAGATCGTGGTCATGGCCACGTCGATGATGGTCTCGTCGTCCACCTCCTTGAGCGTGTCTGACACCATGTCCATGGCCCTGGAGAACATCTTGGTCCAGACGCTCTCCGACTCCGCGATGCTGGTCCTCCCCCTCACCGGCTCGGGGTCCGTCTCCATGGGCTTGTTCACGAAGACGGATCTGGCCCTGGTGTTGTTCGTGCCCGGGATCTGGGCCTGGTTTATCTTCGTGTCCCTGTCCGGGTGCATGTAGACGTACATGCCCGCCGTCAAGGTTCGAGCCCTCGGCGCCGGTCATACCCTTACATATATTTTGAACAGCTGAATCCGATCTGTCTTTTCTTTTTTGTTCTTCTAGGCTATGCAAATCGCATAAATCCAGAATAAGCATGGGACTCCCTCAGCAAACTTTTGGAGGAGGTCCACAGATTCTCTTATTTTTAGATAAGCTGTCCAATGGTCCCAAGAGTAATTAGCAGTTCGCTTTCAACGTTAGATTTCTAATCCGCAAATTACCAATTCGAGATAGACGAGAAAAGGCACCATCCTCGCTGCCAATTTGATCGGAGGACACCTCAAGAGCCACAATACTACCTAGATTACTCGAGAACGAAAAACCTGATTACCATATACGGTTTTATCCTAGAGGGTGAGCGAAGGCCGCTTTAACCTGAGCTTTAACTGAGTCACTCCCTGAGCAACACTCCGGGGGGGCAAATCGGGCCCCCTAGTAATCGGCTATACCTGCCTCTCAGCTAGGCATCTGTTTCAGACGGGCGTCAAGGAGTCTGGCAGATATATCTGCCCTTACGGTGCTGTCTAAATTTCCTTGTAACCTTGGGCCTGGCGGTGTGTACGATACAGTCGTTCCGGAAAACGCCCTCCCCTTTCACTCTTCCGGGGTAATTTTCCCTGGTATGCAAATGTGGAGCACTCTTTAGTTCGATGCTAGACCCTATATAAATTACTACTTGGTATGCATGCCGTTTGCCTCTTACATCCTTGCACCGCTGTTGCATTATAGTCACCAGTTGTTCCAGTAAATCACTCCCAATGGCATTCCTTGTCAGGAACGCTTACGGGATGGGCAGAGTACAGCGGTGAGAACAGTTGTCAGGGGCCGAGGCGGAGAAAGGCTTCGAGGGAGTCTGATGGGGTTTCTCACAATGATATTGCTATTCAGTGCACTATAGAGTACAAGACGGAAGACAAGGAGCTCGAAGTCCTTCCGAGTTAATGAGAAGATCTATATAGACCTTTAGATGAAGGTCCGGAGTCTTCATCTCCGAGAATTCTAGTATTGGAGACGTTGCTGCGAGTATTCCGGAGTTCTGAGACATTGCTGAGACCTCGAAAACCCTTTCCCGAGCGTCCTCCGCTTCTTCAATGCCTTCTGAATAGATTTCGAGTGGGTTCGATCGGAGTATATCAGGTTGTCAATGCGATCTAGGCTATTGGCAAGGCCACGGGCCGGGTCACGGGACGGGGCTGTGTAGCTGCTCGGGCTGTTCCCGTGACAAGCGGCACACGGCTGTATTTCGTGTCTGAGTAGTCTCACTCACAGGGTAAGGATAGACGATGAGTTTTAACGTCAAACCAGGAGATTAGCATTAGGGGACACGAAGGGTCGTAATTTTTTGAGTCGATATCGAGAGTGATGGGAAGCTCTGCGTTCCGAGTAACGTTATGCGATGTAAGGCGCGTGGATAGGAATCAAAGAGTCGGCCGAGAAAGGAGGACCGCAAGCAAAATATGGGCAGCGGCCTGTCTCACTTGGCAAGCCCACGCCTGGGAGTGGTGGTGCAGCGAAACTAAACACGGGATATCATGAGTACCAGGCAGCAACGTAACCAGAAAAGTGAGTTGAGAAGGCTTCCAGCAAGAATGACCAGCCAGCCAGCTACCAGATATGCGAGCCGAGAACTTGGCCTTCCTATGCGAAGATATTTGTCGTACACAGAAGGAGGGTGGGTCTATCTGCTTAATTGTGTTCTGTCACCCTGGCTATTCAGAGAGACTCTGCCCATTCATATACGCTTTGGCCTGCAACCTGAAGAGCATTCCTGAAACCTCCTATTCCGTCGCCATCCTATCACAGATCAGCGAGAACAACGGTGTCGAGGTAAGTGACGCAGTTGGTGAAACGCCTAGCGTCTCAGGTAGTTTGCCACCCAGTGGCTATCTCGATGCCCTGTCAACAATATGCACCAGAACTGGGGTTCAATTAGGCTCGAGGGCGCTCAAAAGCCGCAAACGACGCTTAGTCAGAAGAACACCAACATGGCAATGACCACTAATTGTCGCGGGAGTAGGCCCACTTTGAAACACGGGAAGCTGTAACGATAATCGAAGATTTGCACCAAAGTGCTGCACGATTCAGAACTCGTTGGTCTTACTTGATATGATAGGCCTGGAGCTGTCCAAGAGTGGCGCTTGCTGACTCGTCTTCCTGTTTCTTAGATGGTTAGGTAAGCGCCGACCAAGACATCCCCTCAGCCTCACGAGGAAACCACTCATTAATTCTCTACCTGGTCTCTTCGAGTTTGCTACTTAATATTGGAATATATATGCGGGTTCTCTACTTAATACAGATATATGCAATATTTATAACCTTCGCACACTACCTCCTGTACAGCATTATTAACGCCCAGCGGATGTGGGACTGATAATTTAGACAGACAGGCTGTTTCACCGTTTGTTGCTTCTTCTCCTTTCCAATTGGTACCCGAATGTGAGTTCTCAGGCTTAGTGATAAATTGTTAATAGGACTTTCTGGTCTACCAAGAAGCATAGTCCACCTGGTACCGAAATTTTCTTGAGCAGCAATCTGACTGCCTGTGATGGAGGAACATGTTCTCACGCACGATCATGGTCATCAGGTCACTTTACTAGTACATCGCGTCGAAGCAGGTATGGAAAAGACTAAGAGCCCGCTTTCCTGCTTGATGAAAGAACTGATATTAACACAACTCCAGAGGACAGTTCCGGTGAACCTGATGATGTCGAAGACCATGAAGCTGCCAGGACTACCTCATTTCTGGCTCGAATGAGAGTCTCGACAGAGGTTCTGGTCAGCAAGTCTCTGGTGTTCCGAGCTATGTTGACCAACGGTGTGATGATCGAGTCACTGGCTTTCAAGTCTAACAATTACTTGGAAATACCACTCCCCGATGACAATGCTAAAATCTTTTTGGTGGTAATGAATATTCTTCATGAAAACACCGGAGCAGTTCCCGATCAAGTTGATTTCACCCAGCTCGTTGAAATAGCTACTCTGGTGGATAAGTATAGCTGGCAGGAAGCAGTCCGTGGTCAAGCACAGAGATGGATCGAGTCACTCAGAAGCAGTGTTCCAGTCTCCTCAACGGACGAACTTCTTCCATGGATTTGGATATCCTGGGTTTTCCACTTTTCCGATTTGTTTAGAAAGCTAACAGCAGTCGCACAAAAAGAGGCTACTGGTCCCATTGACATGCATAACCCGTATGGTGTTCCGGTACCTGAGGTTGTCAAGAGTAAGTGTCTCGGCATTTTAAAAGCATCAAGGCTAACAATCCAATTAGCGCGGATTGGACGCCAAAGAGTAGAGGCTATATCACAGATTCAGTCACTGTTAGTATCCCAGATGGAAGACTTAAAAGAGACGGCAATGAGAGAACAAGATCTGTTCGGTGATACTTTTGAGATGGTACATGCCTTTCGGCTTGGTTTTCTTACTCTTTCGGGCTTCAAATGGGGAATTCTTAGTCCTCGAGAGTCCGACAGTCACCATTTCGAGGGAGTGAGTTTCAGGGACTTATCAACACATATCAGGACTATGGTCGATATCGATGACTGGATTGTCGGTACGAAACCACCAGGAACTCATTTACCCTTCGTGCTTGACGGTATGAGCGCGATGGTGCCCCTCCTGGGACGAATTTTGGGATCACCAGGGTCATTTGCGTATGGAACCTCGAATATTAAGAAACGCTTTGTCGAGCTTATTACAGACTTAGAGCAGGGCGAATGGGGCTTAGATCTCAAAGACTTTTGACGCCCGTCGATTCTGTCTGATACAGAAAAAATAACGCGAATTCTTAAATCCTACCAGCAAATGAGAATGTTCAACGTCACCGCAAAGCCTCAATAGGCTCTTCCGGGGCCACTCAATATATATATATCTTACAGCCTTAGCACAGACTATATACTAGGCTATTCAACTACGCTCCACTCACCTAAAAGCTATGCAGACGATATTTTCTACCTCTTGGGGTTAAAAGTGGCTGGGATGGAGGAAGTTGAACCGGGGAACGCGGGACCTCCTCGTCTAATTTGACGACGTTGACATAATAAGAACTCGAATGAGGAGGAGGACCAGACTGTCCCTAACTAGGCAGCTAGGAAAGGTAGAAGGCCGCCTGAGTAAGAGCGTGGAGAGGAATTAATCCGATTCGGCAGAATGGGAAGGAAAAGAAAAGAAAAAAAAAGGGGGGAGGGAACAGAGAATCCTATGTTCTATTACCAATACTGAGGGACTTTCGAAAGGGATAGTTGGGACCCACCTCCTTAGTCGGACCTCGAGAGAGGGTAGGAGGATGTCGAGTGTACCAATCCCAGGCATTTAATTGTCGAGCAGCCACTTCACTGATTTCTTGTGCGACGGCCTTCTCTGATGAGCCAATGTACATATCAAAGACGTCCGAGAAGTAAACAGTTCTCAGAGGTTAGGAATTTGGGTTAGGCGTGGCCTGAAAACTCGGTCTTCCCATAAACTGTTGTGCTAGCTACCCCTGCTATCGATATCCTGGTCTGTGTCTCTTCAGGATATCAACATCATACTAATTCAATACCGTCGATTGAATCGTTCATCCAGCACAAGGGTAATTGTTGTTCTGTGCTCTGCCTGCATGAATCTACCTTACACGACCAATTTCTAGTCCGCATGATCATACAGTACTCGAACTGTTTAGATCCCCGGCCAACCAGAAATGTCGAAATTCAAGGCATGAGAGATGCACGGTGCCAGGACGCAGCCGGAATCCAACTTTGGCAAAGAATTATGACAAACAAATCACGTGTATTGTTGGCTCTGCCCTCTTTGAACGCAAGAGGGCATCTATCTGATATGTATATACACAGAGAGAAGGAATGGACGGGCAACGACAACATCGTCGTTGCCCCTGTTGGGCATCAATATCAGGGGGATTGCCATGATCGACATGGCATGAAACATCCAGGTTGGGCATCAACAACTGTGTTTGTATAGATGACGATAGCAAGGTCTCAGGAGGTGGCAATTCTATCGAAAAAAGACATATGCCGTCCAACAAATTATCTCCTGGCCCTCCTTCCTGCCATGCCTTGGACTCATCGGTGTACCATTCGGCGCATTTTGTCTGGTCATTTGCATCGTCGTGTCCAAGTTTGGGAAGTGTCAAATTGAACATGTTGACGTAAGAGCACATCCTCTGCACAGGCTCAAGTTTGCGCTTATGCTGCTCAAGGCACGCTTCGGGGTTGGCTAAGCCGTAGTCAGGATTGCGCAGCCACAGCTTAAGATTGTCTTGGTAAGGCTCAGGGCAAACTTGCAGGTACTCAGGTCTTAAACCGGAAATGGACTCTAGAGAATTTTCAGGCTGCTTTTCTGGAGAGATGAGTTATTGATTCAGGCATAGTTGATAGCTTAAGGGGAGTGTTTGCGTGTCCGAGGTTAGCATTTCGCGAGTGTGGCTGGGCAACTCCCTGAGCGGAGAGCAGGGAGCCTAATCAGGCTCCTTTCGCTGACTACCCAAGTAAAATACAAACTTTCGCCAGCTGTGGCTCAATCAAAGACTAAATGTCAACGAGGGATCGGAGGAAAGTCTGATGAGAATTTCCGCGTGCCCGTACCTTGATTCCAAGAGGAACACTCATCCCATGCTCAATAGAAAGCAAAGGATGCATCGCAGGCAAGACAAAAGCAGCCAGGCTATTGAATACGACCTTCTTAGCGGCGAAGATATATTGAGGAGGTCTGAAGATGCGAATATCAAGAATGCCATGCTACCAACCTCCTCCCTTCACTGCGATGACGTCATGGGCTTCTAATCCGCTGATCCAACTGCCTACCTTATCCGTAATGATAAAAGACAGGATGTGTTGAACGATGGGTTTGATCCTGTAACCACAAGAGCATTCCTGAAACCTCCTATTCCGTCGCCAAGCTGTTACAGGTCTGTGGGAACAGCAATGTTGAGGTAAGTACCGCAATTGGTGTGACAGCTAGCGTCTCAGGTGGTTTGCCACAGTGGCTATCTTGCAACCCTGTCAACAGGATGCAAGACATTCCTTAATGCATTTTGAGACCACGACACCAAACAAGGCAGTGGAAGCGGGACCACCGTTTATCGAGATGTCCACGTCAGGAATAGTGATATTGTTGCAATCAAGATAGTAGACTGCACTGGTGGAGATTGTACTGGGGTAGAAGGCTGCTTCGTAACAACCATCCAGCCTGAGATCTCGCTCATGGGGCGGTGTAGCCACCCTATCCTTACGAGGTTTGTCACCGCATTCGAAGCCGCAACCAGAAAGAATTCGCTTTTCATTGTGATAAAGCCGTGGGAACCAGTTAGCCTTAAGGATCTCGTATCCAGTGTTACCAGCCCCGACACATTTCCACAATATCCATGGCGGGGCAAGCTAGATCCAAAGAGAAATAGCGGACCAGAGACTTAATCTTGATCTCGCTCGTTTTGTTTTAAGAGTTGCTTTTCATCTACAGCGAGCGACCGTGGCAAAGCTGGTACTAGGGCAGGTCTTCCAGCTGAGTGAGTCTATATCAGCTGCGGAGTGGATAGTCACTACTAATTAAACTCATCGGGTTGAAGAGAGGGACGACACAAATTCACATGGTCTATTACTAATGTACAGAGGCCACGCTTCCACAGATCGTGATGGACTCTCCAAATTGCGATGGGATGTTTGCAAAAGGCATTTGTTTTTTTACTGTCTCAGATTCAGGGACGTTAAACGTCTGTGGAAGGCATCTTCACTTTGACGGATTTCCCGTTTGCTAGGCGATAATGCTTCGCCCTTGAACGTTGGATGCGTGGTTCCGTCTTGTTCTCCAGTGCTTCCGGTGCTGAGGACCGTCGTTGATGACCAAGGTACGGAAGCTGAAGGAGATTTAAACTCGGAAGATTTGAACCTTCCTCCTTCCTGGTGTCATTTGTTGTCTGTAAGCCTCCCCTCCCATAGAGATTACAGTCTCTAGGAGCTAGAACACCATATTTGGTCACTAGATCCTCTTTTTCCCAAGCAGTGGCACTACCATTCCATACGCCACTTCCGTCCAAAGACAAAGTGGGACAATTAGAGGGTTCCCGGCAATTGAGGAGATGCACTCTCTTTGGAGCAGATTGAGTCAGTCTCTCCGTTGATATATCGAACTTGACGACTCTGGATATGTGTCGCGGCGCCATTATGCAGGTGGCCTTTTCAACCCCAGTAAATGCATTTTTTGGCTTCGATATGTCAGTCCATGCCTCAATTTCACCACCAGCGCCGGAGAAGAAGACGCGGTGTTTAACCTCGGTTCGGGATCGAAATTCGAGTCTGTTGTCGCTCCGATCTATCCATGCTCTCGACATCCTTGTAACCCAGCAGAAATCGCCACACCAACACATTTCTCTTGGCAGAACTGGTGGCTCAGGACTGATCGGAATGTTCGATTGAACAAGTTTAGACTCCAATGTTGGAGAAATAACATCGAAACTGCCTTTGACAAGTAGACGATTAATTTCAGGTATGACAAAGTTCGTTCCGTCGGCTGATTGGGAACTTTCTTCGAATCGATGGACAGTATTCTCTGGTGCGGACGACCGGCGCAGATGGCCAGATGAAGGAGGTCGGAGATTGTGTTTTCTGAAGAAGGATGGATATCGCAGAGCGATTTTAGAATCAATGCGCCTGAATACGCTATCTCCGTTGCTCAATATATGGAAGTCCCGGGAACTGAGAAGGTAGTTTCTTTTGGACGGGTTATCCCTGAGCTTTTGCGCATAAGATTTGTAGAAGTCAAATTTAGTTACAGCCTCCACGTGAAAGGGCTGCGTTATGCAGGAGCAGAGAAATGCAGATGACGAGAATATAGCCGCCTTGGGCTTGTCAGTCCACACTTCAACGTAGCCGTCGCTGGTGCCGAAGCAGATCCTGTTTTCGAGATCGGATTCGCATTGGAAACACTGGTTGCACCAGCATATATGAAGGTCTTCTATCTCAGCATTTGCGATCGCTATTCCAAAGTGCCATGATCTGATCGCGTATGGTCAGACGGACTCGTATTCTGGCTCGCTGGTGGCAGGTTGTTTCGCGGAACCAAATGGCCTTGTCGAGGCAGACGATGTGTCGATAGTCTGCCCAATATAGACATCATCGCGCAAAGGCAACGCCAGGAAATCTTCTCGAATAGCTTGAACGATGGTCGTATCGCTTGAGAGCAAATCATCTTGAGGCACTTTGTTGTAGGGCTGCGAAAACTCCGAGGTGGAAAGACTCGATCTGGAAAGATCCTCTTCGGAATTTGGAGCCATCGGTAATTCTTGCGGGTTATCGGCTGAATGCCCGACAAATCCGTCCGCTGATGCGGCTGAATCAACTTCTGAATCGTCAGGGGATGGACATTCAATCGTCTTTATTGATTGAGAAGACGTCGAGCCAAGCGTTAAAGCGCAGGGTTCTAAACTTCGGCCTAAGCTGGGTTTTCCGTTCTTCTCTCTCAAAGCCAACTCTGAGACCAATTCTTCGCTGCGCAGTCTCGGTCCGTCTTTGACGCGCTGTGCTGGTCCATCGGCTTCTGTGACGTTGCTCAATGATTCCTCCATGATGTTGACTCTGTCGACAGAGGAATTGCAAATAATCTGCTTAGTGATTAGAACTCGGCCTTTGTTGATTCATGCTTAAAGATCAGTACTTACCTAAATCGCTTCGACGTTCGCTAAGTGTTTGGATGCCTCAGCGTCGAAAGTCGGAGAAGATTTGGTGCATGAGCTCACCCAAGGACAAAATTTAAGACGGGAAGAAGGCTAGGGGTCTGAAATAGGACACAAGGTCCGTTGGTGCCCCCGTGTTGTTGATGTGGATAAAATCTAAGATGCAGCTCACTAAGGGGCATGTAGAGGAGTCCTCACATCACCGCGACTGCAAGGGCTTATCGAGCCTGCTGTCTCCGGCATCCAATGCTGAATGTGAACTGGTGAACAAAATCAACCCGACATCTGGCAGGGATGAGTCGGGCTAGCCCCGGTTTCAACGGGAAAAGCATCTGGAGATTATAGTTCTTCAAAGCCCCTGCGGCGCTTACATAGCGGCTACTGTCTCGGCGAGGTTGACTGGATCAGAGGGTTTGTTCAGGAGGCATTGTTGGAATTGACCGTGTTCTTATGTCACCAGCATCCGTTAATGTTTATTAAAGTATAACTATTCTGCGTGAACAAAGATGCCAACCTAACCCCTTTCCGTCTTCAATGAGGTTTAAAGTCCGGATGTTCAACATGGTTGAAGTGCGCAACCATGTTGTGACAGAGACATGAGTAGGCTCCCCTGAGGTGGACATTGTGTTATCCTGGTCAGTTTCAGCCACTTTCCTACTTCTCTCCTACGCTGCATCAGGCCCAATCCATACTGCAGCATACGGTTCAAAATACGGATAACATGCTACGAGGCAGACACCGCCCCCGCATGCCATTGACATGGATACCCATGGCATTATCTCTTGCAAGCAAAGTTTTCTGGTGCTGCATTCTGTGCCCTCCTTTGCCATATCAAACTCTACAGTACCTCTTGCATGAGTACCAATATGCAGCTGGTCTTTAGTAGAATTTTGCAACATAGTAAAGTCCTGAGCGCCATTTTTTGTACCATAGTCGAGACCCAAAGGGCGGAAAAAGGCTCTAAAAGCCCGAATCGACTTGTGTGGATTAGAATCAAGGCAGCGACCGCTTTCCCATGCGGAAATATGCTAGGAAATGGGCTGGGATCACAAACAGGCTCCTGATTGAAGAGGAACCCGAACCAGCTTCAGGGACACTAAACAAGCTTGTGTAATATAACATTGGGACCCACAAAATACGCAAAATCAACACCTCCGGAAAATAGAGGTTCAAACCTCAAGTTTCTGCAGCGTTTGATGGGGGATCGATCGGAATATGGGAGAAAAGGCGAGTTCGGTTAATTTAATGGGCTCAACGCACTTTGTGCAGAATAATTGGTCGATCCCTCGCGAGAAAGAGTAGGCGAATTGGTACATCCTTTGCACATTCAGCCAAGCTCTACTCGCTCGGCTCGGCATCAGGACTTACTACAAGAGTAAACATTTGATTAAAATAGCAGCAATTCCTCAGATGCACTCGTAGAACGTGCTGGAGCAAGAATTATTTTAGGTTTTGCAGGCATCGTGGGTAGCAGCCGTAGAGGGATGATAGTCAGGTGGGAATCAATACTAGTAAGCGACGCAATGGACATAGACAATCCAGTGTTAGCAGAGTGACAGTTTGAAGGCTCACTAGGCGCCCCGTTCGAGGTATTCTGTAGCAGAAGAGAATGTTGAAAGTACTGGCAAGGCATAAAGTTGACTTTGTCGCGAGGTCGTACAGACGAGCAAGGCTGCTACAAACCATGACTAATGCCGCCGGCGTTGCTCGCTAAAAAGAGCTCAAGTTACTCACTCAGCAAGTTTGACAGATTCTGGTGCAGCCCAAATTGCGTACGCTACTGATTGGTAGCAAGTTTCCATATGTTGACATAAAACAGGAAATCGATAGCACTATTGAACTCCCTCTCCAGTCTCTTTCTAGCCTCCTCCAAACCTCCTATCGTCTGCTGGATTGGCAGTGTGTCGGAGGCTCCTAGGAAGGTATAGAGAGGCAGGATCTCTCCAAGGGGCATTTGGGAGGGAGGCACGGACGGACCGATAGACAACATCTGCGAACATAGCGACATACTCGGGAGTGATTCTCTTCGCTCCTGGAGTTCAGCTTCGCCTTCTGCCATTCTATAAACAGAGCATTCAAGCTGATTGATTAACAAGGAAGCCACACCATGGTCCAGGCCAAATGATCTAGTAAGGAGTCAGTTTCTTTGGAAATGCATGTTGGTCGAACCAAGTTTTCGGCAAATTGCTAACACCCGGTCGAATGTACTCGCGATCACGGGGTGCGCGCTGCAGCAATAGTGCGTTCACATATGGGTGCTCCGCATCCCAGGTCCAGTAATACAGTCCGAAGCATATCAAGGAGTCCCAGTCTGACACTGAGTCCAAACCTTGGCAGTGCCTAAAGTTACGGCACGACCTGCATATCGACCGGATTCCGACGTCAAGATGTACAACGGGATTGCCGAAATCGATATCGAAAAAAGTTTTTTCAAGCTCGGAGATCAACTCATGTCCGTGGACAATAGGTCCTCGCTGACAGAGGCCTTGACGATGCGGCCGTATGGATCGGCTAAAGCCAGGTCGCAGCGAGCTTCAAGCATGTCTCACGAGGGCGTGTATGCTCCTCGGTTGTCTGCATCAAACTCGACAGCGCCAGGCAAGTTTGTCCCGGAGAAGGTGGGCTGGGGATACGCGTGCTCCCATTCCGTCGCAGTGGCTTCAGGAGTCGATAGCTTGCGGGACCAACCAAGCTGGTAAGAAATGTCCTTCTCCCAGATGCCGTATATGTATTTACCGGGGCTCAAATGACCCATGCTGCGGGCCAAGCCGGAGAGCACAGGCAAAATATCTTCGCGTACGTGAGGCGCAGCGTGCTGTACTCCTCTATGATTTGAGCCCACATCTGGCCAAAGTGAAAGGTTTTTGTGCTTGTTAAGCTCTCAAGCATTAGTGATCGAAACGCTGAAAATTTTGAAGAGAACTGTCGTCCCGGGACAGCGCCGCATTCGCCTTCATGCGTGACCTGGCATTCGTAGTAGAGCTCATCGGGTAGGAAGTGCACGAGCCGGCGTGCGAATAGTTTTTCCAGCATCCATCAAGCACGCTTAAATAGTGGAAAGTGGTCCAGCTGGGGCGCGAGCAACCAGTCATAATTCCCAATGCCCCTTGCACGTACTTTAAAGGGACTTGGATTCTTGCCTTTTGACCGTATGGTGAGATATTTTGTCCGTTGATCCAAGAAACCAGCAGCACTATCTGGCGCATGTGTAGCCGCCAGAACAATCCACACGCTAGAGTAAAGATCCGCCATTCTCGAAGCTTTGGTATCCCAGTCCTCTTCGTCATCCTGTATGATGTAGATAGAATCGACCCACAGGTACCGCAACGCTATTTAGTGCTCCGGTCACAATTAATGCGTCCTGTATTGTCTTGGGAAGCTCCGAGATAGCCAAGTGACGATACCTGGATCGAACATTGTTCTTAGTCTTGATGTGCTACTTCACTTTACCCAGCAGCAGCTGAGTGCAGCAAATCGTACTGGCTGGGTCGGCGAAGCAAAGTGAGCGGTATTCAAGGCGTTTTCCTCCACTTTCAGCAGTCGACTTGGGATAAATATGTTTTGTGGAGTTGTAGCAGCACATTGCTGATGGTTATCTACACAACCATTTCCAGCCTCTGTACGTACCCTTAGCTTAGGCGGGAGCGATCGGATTGCGAGATTTGTCACCTACCACTTGAATACAGCTGTATGTGCACATGTTCGCCAGGAATGTTATTGTAGTAATTGCTTCGGTCTTCGGAATTGTACAAACAAAGTTGGATATCTCCTTTCCTCCCATACACAACCTTACACCTATTTTGAGGCGAGGTTGTACCAACGCAATGCAAAAAGTTTTGGAGAATGATGTCGCAGAAGACACATTCCGTATTCAATGAGGAGATGTCCACGACAAAGTGCCCACCAATGTACCTCGTCCCGCGACTTGCTGATAGGTATGGAGGACAGGCTTTGCAACAAACGGAATAGAGAGAGCGTTCATGTGCCGGCAGCTTCCGAATCTCGGCCCACTTTCGCAATATTGCATTCACGCGTTTCGACCTTGTGAGTTCAACGAAACGACTGGCTACCGACCTGGTCTACCGTCAGTCACGTACCGTTAATGTGCAGCATTCCATCAACTCACAACAATGCGAGGTTCTGAAGGATATTCAGCTTCTCGCATTCGGTACCATATCCGACTTGGGGCCCCCAGACGGGTCCAAATGGTTGACCACCAACCATAGAGACGACCGGCAGGCTCGACTCGACTAGTCTCCTGGTATGGGTTAGGGTTCTCAGTAACAATCCTTGAATAGCATGAGCTGGTTGTGGATAGTGCAAGGTATGAACAGTCTATGTTACTAAGAACTGTATAGTTCAATAGATGACATGAATTGGCTACGAAGAGAGTATAACTATCTGGAAGGGAATGAGGGTACATATGTAATGCTTGCGCTCTGTACGCTCTGTACGCTCTGTGCGCTCTGTGCGCTCTGTGCGCTCTGTGTCAACAGAGCCAACAGAGCCAACAGGGCCAACAGGGCCAACAGGGCCAACAGAGCATCTCACGTGATCCAGCCTTGTTCTCCCGTGGATCCTTCCATCTGTCCAATGAGTGTGGTGATCCGTGCTCTCGCAACCTGCAATCGGCTGCTCTCAAGGCTGTGTCTAACAACAGATTGCTGCCAGAGTAGTCAATAGCATGGGTGAAAACATGCAGGTATAAAAGCGCAACGGCAAGACGAGAGCGGGGTTTGTCGCGACCTGCTCGATAGCAGGTAATTATAGTATTGAGGGCTATTTCCGTGTATGGGAAGGAATGAATGTGGGAGATAGGAGGTTGCTTCCCTGTAAGACAGACGACACTGTTCTAAGCGATCTCAGGGATCCGAGCCAAAATTAAACCCTTCAGAAAACTGAGATGTAAACCTCCAAGTCTCTGCGGTGTTTCATGATGGTTCGAGGGTGCATATTGTGTCGATCTACGAACGGAGTTACTAGGTCGATCTACTACGGACGCTCAGGACTCTTCCGAAATCACATAGAGACTAGTCACCTTTCAGCCTTAACGGTATATAACTAAGTGTCCTGCACCAAGTATTATCCTATTCTCGACTCACAAATTTCTTCCCCTCTTTTTAACACCGATTTCTCCGCTTAGGACGATATGCACTAACTAGAGGGGAAGGGGTTTTTTGAATTCCTCCTCGCATCACAGCTCTACCAGCTCTTTGCCGCCCAGCCGTCGCTGTCTTGAGTATGCCGCTCCTGGACCCGATCGCCTGGTGTGGACTTCGCTAGCTCATTGACTTCTTTAAATCAAATCTTTGTGCATAAAGGGGCTACTGCTCGGTTTCTCTTCATAATTGACGGACTGAACGACCGGCTTCACAAGCTAACACCGAAAATTTCCTTCACCTAGAGGGACAGGTATTGGAACGGAGCACTTCAGAGTTCGGCATGCACGTGCAACAACGCAGAGGGGCCTGTCCGGAAGGTCGGAAATCGAGAACGCGTTTCTGATCGGCGCTGGCAAGACGACACCACCACCAACACCACCCCCAGAGAGGCTGCGACGTTGAGGAGTGGAAAAGGATAGAAGGGATACTCAGGAATAGGCAGGCTGCATCAAAAAAGGATAGAATTACCTCCTCAAACTGTAAAGAATGGCACACGGCCAGCTTTGTAAACTGTTAAGCACACTGGCAACGATTGCCTGCTAGCACAGCCATTCTGTAACTGCTGTAACTGTTTTGATGCCCTTTCAGTATCGCTAGAATGCTCAGTTGCTCCTTCCCGCCCTAAAATCGCTTATCCACAGCCAGGATGATGCTAGTCCTTTTTGTGACCAGCTAAATCGTCTTCCAGCTTCCTGTCTGCCAGCACAACACAGCCTCTTTGCCTTGTTGCAATATGAGCAGTACCTTGTTTATGGGGTTGGATAGATGGGTAGATAGGTAGGTATGAGTGGAATGTCGCTGGCCGAGCGTATAGTTCAGGGGGCGGTAACGTTGTGTAGTGTATGCAGCCAGACCTAGAGACCAGTACACTACTTCGGGACAACAATGATAAGTCATACAACGCGCGGAAAAATGCCGTAAGAAAAGGAAGGATGATGGCTATCTTGGTGATTTGGCTGTGGCACCGCTTCAACTCCTCAACCGCCAGCAGCCACACACCTTTGTCATATTGTAATAAACAAACTCGTTGCTTGGACGCATTTCCACGATTTGACTCTTCCTTCATCAACTGATTTGTCTGCCTCTTCTGTGCCACTGGACATTATTGTCAGGTCAGTGGAGCAGGCAGTGTCTCACTGTGAAGGTTGTCGTGGAAATCTACTACTTGCGGGCATCCCTAAGCAGCTGATGCAGAATGAGAGGTTCTGGGGTGTGTTCGTAGATCTAGTGTTCTTCTTCTGCCAAAACATGTCGAGAGGCTCCAATTGGGCCTGGTCTTCGCGATGAGTAACATTCGTCAAAGGGATGCGATGCGTTCTTTACATATCCGTCGGGTGATGATGATGTCGTGGTTGCTGTCCGGGATCTCCGAATGCATCCATTATATTTCTTTCGCGCAACTCGCGCATGTATTGCCTCTGCGAGTCGGGCAAGGTGAAGTTATGGCCGACATAGCTCGCTTTGCTGAATATTCTATGAACTGCGTACCCCATAGTGACCACGGCGGCGGCGCTGAAGATGCATATGACAATGATTGCTTGGTCGGAGATCATCTTCGCTCAGTTGGGAGAGTTCGGCAAATGCCGGTTGATGTGGGAGTTTGGGCGTTCCTCTTAACGTCGAGTGTCGGACGCTTAGTGGTGATTGTACTTTGGATCGGAACGTTGCACAGGGACAGAAAGACAGCCAGAGAGGAGGCGGCTTGATGGGCAAGGCTGGATCCGACGATTTCTCTGAGCAAGGACCCCGAATCTTCTCGAAAAATAAAGTCGGAACAGCAAACTCCCACTTATTACTGAAATTCACCCTCGCAAACACCGTAGACGACGTCGAGCACCTCGTGTTATATACTCCGTAGGGCTCTAGCAGCTGCGGTATGGAAAGGCCGCCTATGGTGGATCTCGTTGTGAACTATGAGTGGTCGGCTCGGGTTATGGAGACAATTGAGCCTTTTGCGGGTCCCGGCTCGAAAAAAGGGGATATGCTATTGGATCTATTCAAGACATCAATCTTCCCCAGGGATATTTGACACGAGTCATTGAAATAGCGTTCCGTCAGGGAAGTCTCCTACCCAGAGCAATGATTGGTGAGCTCGGGTTGTGGAGACTTCTGGCATCAAAGGTCGGAAGTTGAAAGAGGAGGTCCATTTGCCATCAAATTCAGTCGACTGGGGCGGTGCAGACTTAGGCGCGCGACGGAATTCCGGACGATTTGCCTCTGCGACATATCGGAATGGGATGTGACATACTGTTCTGTCCTTTCTGCAAGGAAGTGAAAACAGTGTAGCCCATGGCTTTGCTGATGGTTTGGGACCCTCGTTCGACTCCGGCTCTCCTAGTAATGGGGATGCTCCCAAAATCCGTTCCCTCCAAGTAGGAAGGAACCCAGTTGCGACGCAGTTTCCACCGCCATCACCAGGAGACGCATCTTTGTGTTCCGGAGACGAAAATTTGGATGTCGAGCTTTCCTTCCTCGAGGAACTTTCCCTGATTCGCAGATCGTTGGAGGAGCAACAGGTGTACATTAGCACGATGGAGGATAGTAAGAGCAATATTCAGTGGATGGTATATACAGCTTGGCTTCATATCTGCACGGTGTGTTCGACCGAAGATCATGCATGATTCTCATCTTGCTGCCACATTTGAAATTGGTGAAACTTGGCGGGTCGGCTGTCAGGACTTTGGAGCTCGGCAATCTGGTCCCACTGCACTCGATGGTTTTCGGGCGGCAGCTCGATTTGGGAAGGCTCTGCACATAAGACCCCGTGAATATTGCCGGATTCCTCGATCCCAACCGTCCATTCGGTGACATCGGTCATCGCGTCAGCTCTCCAAGTATTTTCAATTTGAGCCCCCTTCGGAGTAACGAGATTGCCTGTCGACGGATCATTGGGTGTCGACACTTGATTGCGACAGTAAACAGTGAGGGGATGACTCGGGTCTGAAACATGAACACTGGACGCAGCTCTGTCCTCCTGGAAGTTACGATCCGACTAGCGTGATCGACTATGGTTTGAAACATGGGAGAGAATGCGTCGAAATCGGTCTTACACATACTTAAACCAGTTGCGAGCAAGATGAAATAATGGCCATATGCAACATGGAGGAAGGAATAGGCCTCCATTTCATGCCGAGTGGACGATCTCCCGGAGCTCTGGGTCATATGTTCGAGAGCCGAGTGCCACCTCCGAAAGTGTGTTTGAAGGCGCTTCTGTCTCGAAATTAAGGCTGAGGAAGGTGTCCAGTCTTTCGGCCGGTCCATCCTTATTTCAATTGCGTCCACGATAAAGTCGTGGGCCGCAAAGACCAGGGCGTAAAAACCTTCTCTAGCATCAAAAATTGTCTCGAATGTCATTTGACCTATAAATCTTCCCTTCTCGGTAGGAAGTATTTGCGATGTGGACATATTTAGTAACAAAGCTCGGACTGACCTTTGGAGAGAGTGCTCGAATTGTGGCGTTATTATACAAATGGCACGATCAGGTTCTGTGCAATTTCCGTCATAGCAATTGATTGCTGGTAGAGGGCTAGTGCCTCAGAACAATTATCTCGTAGGCACTCTATACGGATATATAGGATACAAGATATAACGGCAGTGGTTGACCGAGTTGTTGCTTCCTTCAAACGTGTGCGTAGACGGGTGGTCGATTTGCCTTACCAGGTCAAAACCCTCCAATGGTCTTCATTTACTATAGGGTCTGTCTTGCTTCCTGGCCGCACAAACTGGCCGGAGGACTGAAAGTGCTGAATCAAACATGATAGAGCAATGACGGCGTCCCAAATTATCGGATCCGAGTGGCGGAGCCGAGAGACAAGCTGGTGCCAGAACTTTTCATCCGCTATTTGAGTAAAATCAGGCATAATTCGCCGTATAAAAAAAATTCAAATGATTGTACTTCGACTGGCTCAAATTTTGCGTATGTTGGGGATGTTTGGCGTGCAGCACTGCACAGTTCGTTCTCAGCATGTCCGCGGCGCGAACATAACCATCACATTTTCTCCTAGTTGTCAGGCACCTTTGGTAAGCAGGGCGCTGCTCGTCGCATTTGAGTTTCCCGATTTGCAAGTGATACACCCGTCATGAGATTTTCGGCTCCCAAGCTGACCGTGTCTTGGTCGTGGTTTCGACAAAGTCATGGAAAGAGATTCGACGCGACATCAATGCAATTAAGCCAGTAAGAAAAGACGCCCATCAGAGCGTTGGTACTTAGACAGGATGCCCTCTCAGCTCATAGATGCTGTCTAGCTGGAAAATGAACTGGTCTGGCAACCCTGGAAGTCTTGATGGCAAAACAGGGGGAGTTTGAGTTGGATTCCACATTACAAGGCTGTGTTAGGCTGTGCAAGTAGGGAAATTTCCCGCCGCTTTTAAGGGCACCAAGGGCACCGCCTTCCTCAATGCCAAGATCGTCAACCCTGCTAGAGCCACACTCTATCCCTGCGCCCACCCTCCCTCCGCTTACCTAGAAGCACTGGGAACTACCTACCGAGCACCGAGTAATAGATTACTCGAGAATGATAAACGTCGTTGCTATATACAGCATGGTCCCTAGGGGGTGAGTGAAGGCTAGTGAGGCCCGCTTCTACCTGGGCTTTAACTGAGCCATTAGCTGAACACCACTGAGAGTGCTCCCCGAACAAGACACTGGGTTCCGAATTAATTAGGCCCCCAGTAATTGGCTAAACCTGCCTCTCGGCAAGGCATCCGTTTCGCACGGGAATCAGGTGTAATAAGCCAGCGGATTCCCTGCCCTTGCACAATCAGGCTCAATTGGCGTTGAGCAGGTCGTAGTGGTACGAATGTGCGTCATTCCCGGTTCACTTAGTTGATCGCGTTGAGAGGATGCGAATTTTACCGCGGGCTGTACTTAGCATTTGGCGATGGCTTTTGTCCGCTGGGTAATAACGTATTGGTATGGTCGCCGAATGGGTTGTAGAGAGACTTTACTAGTGTTTATAACTCAAATTGTTGCAACTAGAGAATAAGGCTGAGTCGAAGTCTGGACGCCAAACAATAACGAAATCAAGGAATGTCGATGAGCATTTTCTGGTATCGACTGAATACTCTTTCCCGAACTTAGCAACGGCGATGCATGCCTTCGAGTGTCTCAAATCCTGAACGGTGTGACTGCAGACGAGCGCTCTGTCCATGACTCGGTCGATATATGCGTTCCCAACAAGCTTGAAAGGTCCTGCACTCTTGTCTGTGTAGCTTCTTAAGACGAAAGGCATCGGAAAGGTAGAGTTGGGACTTTTTCGAAATGCCGCCATGACCGAGTAGCTCAATAGCCTCCAGGCCGCGAATACATGCTTCTGCAATCTGTAAGCACATCGTATCGGGGGTGTTCGCCTCTGAGTATTCCGAATAATTAACTTCGCAATCTTGTCTTGAGCGAGACCGAGAAGGGAGTAGACCGTCCCGAGCATCTGTTGGTTGGCGCTAGCAAGCACTAAAACGTCTAGAATGCTCATCTTCAGGGATGCGAGAAACGCCTTCTTTTCGCAGCCTGCTTGTGATTTATGTCTCGCTTCGCTCAGAACTCTCATTGTCCTGACTTTACTGAAGCTCATAAATCTTCCGTATTCATTTAAGAGCTCTCCGCGTCTCAGCTTCATCGGGTGACCCCTATACCAAAAGTTAAGGAGATGGTCTAGATTCAAGACGGCTTCTCTGTGCATCAATTACGTTCATGTCCAGGCATATTTTCAAGAGGAGACGGACAATGACCGGCTTAGCGAGTAATTAGTACATCGTTGTCGTACATACGTAATGGCAGCTAGAACAGTTCCTTCCGCATACGCTCAAGACATCCACTCATCACTTGAGACTAAAGAGTGTCTCGAAGGGTAAAAGGTATTTCAGCTTCCACGAGGTCCCTCTCTCCTAGAAGTAAAATGAGGTTGCATCGTTGATGCCATATACGCGGGGCACGCTTGAGGCAGCCTTTTGACGACGTGATTTAGGTGGTTTTCCTCTTGATAGGAACAAGCCGGGTACCTCTTATCAACAAACGAATGTGAGAATCAAGAGCGTCTGATACGACGATGAGTAATTAGAGCGCCCCAGGAGGAAGAGCAACTTCAAAGGACCACAAAGGGAGAGAGATTCAATCGACAAAGCGGAAGCGAGACTATTCCGAAAAGCCCGAATGTCTCCCTCGACCACTCTCCCGTACTTTGCTGAGCGCCGCCGATGCTCTCTCACGGGTCTGATTAAAGCGGCCGCTCTACCAGCGAAACTGGTATAGACTCATCAGGGTCTGCCAGGGAGTCGCTCCGGATCACAAACGAGCTCCTAATTGTAGAGGACCCCGAACCAACTCATGTGTGAACGGGACCACTAAAATACGCACAGCCGAATTCCTCAGAAAATCGAGGTTCAAACCTCAAGTTTCTAGAGAGTTTGATGCGGGATCGATCAGAATACTTGCAGACTGCTGTGCTCTAGGAGCGGCCTTCCTAGTTTGAATTCATAGCCGATATGCGTGTCCTGCTGAGTCATAGGGGTGATCCAGGATTGAGGAGTAATGGCCGTAATAATCGGAGAAGGGTTGTAATTGGTAATCGTGGGCAGCGGCTGTTGAAGACGTACCATTGTGGCGGCGTACCATAGAGGTCGGCTTAGCAAGCTCTACCGCCAGCCTCCGCATTTTTTCAGCCTTTTCGGTATGCTCCCGCAAGCCGCACGATGTTTTTGCTCCAAGTGAGCGTAGCATTTTAACCATGGGTTCCCAGCCTCGTGCATTGGCTATGTCCAAAGCTGTTTTACCGTCTGCGTCGAGACAGTCGATATTGACAAGCTTCCATGCCAGGTATTCTGCCAGTTCTACACTGCCAGTTCCTGCAGCAATGTGCAAAGGGTATCCGATGCTGAATATCCGGCCAGACCAATTGTCGAGCAAGATCTTTACGAGACGGAGGTCATTATGTCGAGTCGCAGCAAGAACAGCGTTTTGAAGACGCCCGTACTTGCCAACTTCGCGGAACAGTGGACTTCGACAAAGGAGTTCAACTTGAGTTTCATCTTGGACAGCGGCTGCACTGGTGAGCGCGCTGATCATTATATCTTGACAGCAATCCGACACGGCATGTCTCGGAAGGTGAAGTAGTAAGTCCACAACACCTTCAAGTCCAAGTTGGCACGCTGCCACGTAGACAAGATCGCGGAATTCTTGCATCAGCTCCCTTTCTCGGTCGTCCAGGGGGGAGAATTCGGAGTTGTATTGTCGGGGAAAGTTATATGTACTGGTGGGCAGATGACGTTGTTCGACCCTTTGCCATCCATGCTGGTAGCTGACTGATGCTGCGGATGCACTGCTCCTCGAGGGTACTTCTGCGCCCGGAGTCTGATTCTTTGGCAGCCACACTGCTAGTATTCCTGGCCAATCGGCCAGAAGAAACCATATCTGCTGGTCGTGCGAAAGCAACGAGGCAGGCGCCTTTTCTGATAAGTCGGTGCTACGCTTCTTCAAGAGCAGCAAACAGTACGACAGCAATGGCCGATCAGCAAGTCCTTCAGCAAGATCCCTATAGAAGGGATCGGGATCAGAAATCATGGCTGAATCTGCAGTTTGAGGTAGACCAGGCACAGGTAATGCAACCGTGATATAGTTGAGACAGGCGTCAAACACTCGTCCTGGATCCTCCGGATTGACCCGAAACGGCCCTGCCTCTGGACGTACAAGAAACTCCTTCACCGTCTGATGCAGAAGCTGAACAGTATCACTTCCAAGCACTTTCTTAGTCTTGCCGCTGGCTCGGCTTATAACGGGCACACCCTCATGAGTAACTTCAATGAAGGGACCACAAAGCTCCAGCATGCCGAGCCAGAGCTGCGTCGGTGATCGCTTGTGAGCTCTTGCCTGTACAAGAGTGTCAAATTTTGTTACAGGGGTGTCCAGTGGCATTGTCGCGGCTTCCCACAATTCATTGATTTTCAGTGGTCTTTGAGAAAAGCTTACCCAAATGAGCATTTTCCGTGCGGTCTTGATACAATCTGCGTCATTGTTGTCACAGAGATTCTTCACCATTTGTTCGTAGAACTCAGTCAAATCCATCGGAAGCTTTGTGAGCCTTTCTTTCAGACTCCTAAAGGTGAAGAAACCTTTGGCAACCTGCACGCTGAGCTCTTGGATGACGAGTAAGACCCACAATATCACACCATCGGCATTTTCGATGAGATACTTCCTCATTTCCTGGATCTGCTGCTCCTCAGTCTGTTCGGCTGCAGCTTTCTCCTTCAGGTGGGCTTCGGAGCTTGATCTACGATGGCTCGCTATCGAAGGCGCAAGAGTGGTCGCCCGCGAGATGGTGTCTGAATCGTCGTCACTGCCGGTATCTTCCTCCGAGTCATCCTGACGTATCAATTCACGCAGAGATTTCAGCCCCTGATCCACAAGAACTCTGATGTCACGAGCATTTTCCTTGTGCATTTCAATTTTGCGGCAGCCTTTCAGTCCACGTTGAATATCACGGGCTGGACGGCTGAGTACAATAAATTTGAATGCGACTGGCGAGCTCTTTTGACTGTTTTCGTCTGAGCACAGGGTTCGAAGCAGCTTCAGGACACGGCTCCGTTGCTCGATGTTGCGTTCATCGCTCTTCGACTCATCCATGGCGTCCAGAATGCAGAATATCTTTCGATTGCCGCCTCGTGAGCGTTTAATGCGCTGAAATGAGACCTCTAGGTCATCCCATGTCCACTGGACCGTGCCGTTGGAAGCCGCTCGTAACGCCCTAAATCGGCCTTGAATCTCCGCAAATAAGGTTGGGTCGGCTTGCAAGATCTGATAAAGCAGAGATCGCAGCATCAGTTCGTGGCTGACTCCCATGGCATGCTGACGGGCGCTGTAGAAATGATCTGTAACCAGTGGCGACTGGAACCCAGCAATATTGAAAGCCGCTTCGTTCTTCGCTCGCCTGTCGTTCTTCTTGTCTAAATGAGATTGGATCTCCTTGGCTAGAGTGGATTTGCCGCAGCCAGGCTTGCCTTCAATCCACAAAATATCTGAACGTGCTGTGTCCCATTCTCGAAAGTCGCGGTTGCCCCAAATCCACTGATTGGTGCCGTAGGAGGACTTCACCACGCGATCACGCCGCGAGTGTATTTCCTTGTAGTATAATGAGGCGAGACACTCTGCACCAATCAGCTTCATCTTGTCAGTCCATGTGCGACGAACCTCTCAATTCAGCCTTCTCATCGATCATGAGTAGATCTTGTAGGCTTTCCATCAGGTCTCTCACGGGTCTGGACGCTATGAATATGCGTATTTTGATCGATTTAGAATGCATCTTAGCAACAAAGTGTCTCAGAGCAGGAATGAACCTTTCTCGCGCTCGATACGGAATCTGCTCGACTTCATCGAAGGCCACCAGAATTTCCTGCTCACAGTCCGCCTGGTGCATCGTCTCCAATATGCGTCCGCACAATTTCCAGAGCTGATCGTTGTGGTTGGTGTGGGTAGGACTGCTAGTACTTAGTAGCTTCCCAAGAGCCAGGAGGTCCATGTTCATAGACTGCGCAGCTTTTTCAAGGATATCGAGTGCAAAATCATCCTGATAGAGCAGCTGTCCTACTAGACTGTTCAATATTGAGGCAACTGGATCAAGTGCTAGGCGTTGGAGCTTTTGTCGGTATTTTCTTGCATCAAGTGCAAAGCGCTCACCGGGCTGATATGCCTGCCTTTGCGATATTTTGCCCTGGTCACCATCTCCACGGGACGGCTCCTTCGATGGCTCAGCCGATGCTTCTTCTTCGTCTTCGTCTTCTTCTGCTCCTTCTTCGCGCAGAGAAGTTAGCCGCTCTACAGTCCTCCCCTGTTCACGGGGCTCAAGGCCAGAACTCGAAGGTGCGTGCTCCGCCTCGGGTTGATTGGATCTCATAATCTGGGGACCAGCTGTGAGCCTTTCGCAAGGGATGTAGACTGCTTTTCGGTGTTTTTTGGAGGGCGCCGTTCTCATAAAACTTGCCAACAGATGTCGTACAAGGACTGTCTTGCCGTTTCCTGGGCGGGAGAGGTAGCATAGGAAAGTCTGACCCTGGCTAGCAACGAAAGTCTCGTACTCCTGGGTTTCGAAAAACCATTGCAAGGAATTTGGCAGATCTAAGGCAGAGTCATTCGCCAGAGAGCTGGTATCAAGAAAATCTGCTATAAGCTCGCCTGCTGAAGCGGTCAACTGGGCTACCTCAGCTGACCCTTTGGAGAAGTTAGTAAGAGAAGGGGCAGTCGCATGAACGATATGTAACGATAGAATTGTACATTCTAGTGGCAAGGTGTGTACCACCAGATCGCACGCGCACAGACAAGGCCCTTGAAGCAGGAGAACTGGCATGACGCACATTCCATTCCTTGTAGATTCGACACACTCTTATCTGTCGCCGCAATCATCTCTGAACGTTTGGCAGCCTCCTTGCGTCCAATATTCTCCAATCCAGTCTCGGGTAGATTCAGCGATCCTACAGGATTTCCGTTAGTACAGTAAAACAATTAATATGAGAGCAAAGATTTAATAACCAGGAGAGCACCGGGTTTAGGAGACTACTTACCCCTTGAAGACCTCTCGATTTCAGCTTTTAACCGGACAAAAGCATTCTCCCCCTCACCATATATAAGAGGCATAAAGACGTTGAAAATCCCCAGAAGACAATAAGCCTTATCCTCTTCTTTTTGAGTGTTGCGAGTCTCGGCCCATCGTAGTCGCTCATCTACACCGAACTGAGACAGAGGCGCGTTGCGGAGAGCTGCGATGGAGATTCCTGTTATCTCGTGAATCTGTTGCTCTAGCATCTTCTTATCACCTAGGAGCTCTTCCTCTCGTGAAAAGAACTCTACTGATCGGGGAGCGAGGAGTTCTTGAAGCGTCCACCCTCGCCTAAACCATCTGCTTTTCCGAAAGGCTGGTTCCCACGGCCGCTCAGTCTGGTCACTATTGCGTTTACAAACCGTAACGTCTGATAGGTACACGTAGCATTTCACTGCATCACGGTACCAGCGAAACATAGAGGTGATCGCTTCCTGGAGCTCTGCGCTACTTGATTTATCAATGCAGCAGGTGTCCACCCAGAAATATTGAAGGCCATCCTTTTGAGCTTGCTCACCACAGAATCGAATCTTATTATAACTAGCCTTTCTCTTAGCAGATCCCTTTTCTAGATCTCTGAAAGTAACCTCATCGCCATTCGGGCCCCACGTATGTGAAAGGATTGCGTAGCATGGAATATCCTGGATCAAATCGTTGGTCAAACTGAGCTCACCACGACTGTCAAGTTTTAGAAGGCGCATCGCGGTGCATCGCGTGGCTCCCTCGGAGGAGATATATTAGGTAAGTAAGAACATAACAACTAGCGTTCCTAAAGGGTCCTTGGTTGTTGGTTGCAGCTTGATGTTACGTTCGCCTGCTATCGGACAAGAGTCGATGCCGAAAGGCTCGATTGGGGGCAGAGATGGGAAGCAGGATTCCGCGAATCTGACAAAGGCGAAGTGAGCTTTTTGAAGACGCGCAATTCTAGACCATGATTAGGCAGTCCAGATGAATATGCAACAATCATGTTGACGAATGCTTGATTAAAGCTGTGGCCTGGCACAATGTTGGCAACAGGCGGGAGCCCAACATACGACGGTCACGTGCGATCAGCCCAAAACGGAACAGTTTTTCCGAGGTTGGGGAGGCATAAAGAATACCACGCCCGCCAATTTGAGTGAGTGTCGGTGACCACGCGGGCGACCTTCCCAATGCTGTATTTCATAGAATCCTGCTCTTTCCAGTAATTGTAAGAATTTCATTATCATTGTCGCCACGTCCGGACGCCCGTGTCGCGAAGTTAGGGCCTCGCCGAGTTCATGAATAAGGCTGTTACCGCCAGTCAAAGCTGGTGCGTGCCCTGCCTGCGGCGCTACCCGGAGCCGCCGGGCCGTGGAAACCGGAGTCGGATTTCCCGCACCATTTTAACCTCACGAAAAAACCTCAGGTTTCTGCAGTGCGCAGTTTTGCATTGATCGGTAGAAACTGATTCGTATCCGCCCAAAGCGGAGTACATGCGTCCCTTCTGAAACATGAAATGATTTCCTGGGCAAGATTTGTGTTATCTTAAGAATTCTCTGGTTGCATGCAATAGGAACCGGTTGCTCTGGCCAGCCCCAGACGTATGAGAACGCGTGATAGACTGCGTCTTTCGCTAATTCCTCTGTATCAAGTAGGATTTCGAATAGGAGCCTCCCTTTTGTTCAAGGGCTAGCTCTCATCAGACTGATTTGCTTCTTGTCGGGGTCCAGGCTGGAAATACTGGAAAGGTCTGTCAATGGCGGGTATTGTGTCGCTCACTGTAAGGCGAGTCTCGTCATCAATTCCCGTCTCGACAATGGAACTCTCGCGCGATAGGGGTAATTCCATCGCATTTGTCTCGCCATCGCAGTCCGTATCTCTTGCTGTAGTCTACTCATAGCGGCTCAGACTTTGTCACATGCCTGGTTACACGGAAGGTGCACTGAGGCACGCCTTGACATGACCCGCCTACTTAGCTCTCTCCCCCCTCTTCTCCCTTCATCACCAGGTAGAGGCAGCCCACCAACCAAATAGACAGCTAGCTAGCTAGCCAACTCATTGTGCTATTGCAGCAAATCTCCACCATTGCGGTGGTTCTCACTTGTTCCTCTTCTTCATTCCCCGACACGACAGACTTCGTGCTCCGAGATCCGGAGACGGCATGCCAATGACCTTTTCTCGAATCTACACCGGTCTGCTTAGCAAGCAGCTTTCTCTGTGGAATATCCGAGTTTTTAGTAATGAACTGATCGCTAGCAAACTGCATTTCGAAGTCGTCTCTTGAGCAGATGGGAGGTTTCTCCCGGTCACCTTCTCGGCACCCAGCGAATATCTCAGCAAGCCAACTTTTACCTCCACAGGCTGAAGCTCCAGTGTCTCCTATATCCGAGCCTTTATTGGGGTCGCCATTATAAGCGTGTCCGAATATTATCCAGCGAAGTGGTAACTACTAGTATAACGTTCATGAAAAGGCGTTGATTGGAATTTGGGCACTGACATTGCCCTTTCGCCTCACTTCGAAGATAGCCAATAACACTGTCGATGCATTCTCCTAATCAGGTTTGCTCCTATAAACGAGGATACAGTGTCAATGGACTGAGGTATGTATAACGAGCCTTTGGTGTAGTCCCAAACCCACAACCTAGCACATAAAGCCTTTTCTCAACCAACCAAAGTTTTTCCTGGGCATGTGTCTCTGTTGCTGTGATACAAGGTCGTTCTCTTTGAATGGCCGTTTCGTTGAAAAGAAATAAAAAAAAGCAAAAAAACAGAGAATGTCCATGCTTCTCTAGAAGGAAACTAAAAACAAAGCAGGAATCGAAAACTGTGTATTCAACTGGGACACAAAAGAAACTCAGGAGGGAGCAAAACGCTAGCACCTGGTAAAGAGCCGGATTCGGATCCATGTTTACCTGAGGGAAGAGGAGTTTGGGCAAGCAATTATGGAGGGGGCACCCAGTAAAGGAACCTCAGTAGAACGGAACCTCTAGAACGCTGAACATTGCTCCACAAGCACTTCGGAGAGTGTGGACTGGAGTCATGCATGGGGTCCAGTTGGGCGAGTACGAGGTAACAAACGGGGTACCTCGAGCCCACCAGCCCTATGCCTAACACAGCACTGGCTGGATTCACTGGGGTTCATTAGGCTCACCAGGCCTTGCCCAAGCGCCAGACCAGGGACTTGCAGTAGCCGATGGGGCCAAAGAATGCGGTGGCGGAGCAAGACCCCTCGGCCGGGTTCAAGGTAACGCAAAGGAAGTTGGCCGCCGAGCCGCACCTTCAAGAAGAAATCCTCCTTTTTCTCCCTCCTGCCTCTCAACTTTATTATTGCAGCCAACCGCGTCCTTAGTCGATACCCCATCGCAGCCAGACGATGCTGGCCACCGACAGCTGAGCGCTCGGGCCTCGACAGCCCAAAATATGCTGCGGCTCTGTATTACGTGGCCGACAACCGTTGGCTTTCCTAATTAGGATGTTTCTGCTGGAGGTATCGAGACACTAATGTAGCTATTCCACAAACTATACAAGGGAACCAGCGAGGGTGCTGGGACCCTTACGTACTTCTGCTTTGGCCCTGGATGAAAATGCATGGACTGTTCTCGGCTAGGTAATGCCGAGGGAAGCGTTAAGAGACTGCAGTTCCAAGCTACGCCAAGTGGAATGTCCCTTCGTTTGACAGATACATGCCGCCTTTTGAGAGACGAATGACGAAAAGTTGGTCAAGCTCTGCACCCAGTGACTGTGGAGCGTCGTTTCTGAGAGCACCTTCTGTTTGAGACCGTACTGTCGAGTATACCATGGCGATCGTTGCACCCTCTGAGCAGTCCTTCAAACAGATGTGGGATGACGCAGAGCAAAGGTCCCTCAAGATTACCAAGACGTCGCTGAGATCGTCGCCGAAAAAGAGCCTGAACGATGTGGTTCAAGAACTCGAGACTCGATACAATGAGTCTGATTCCGCGAACGACGAACGCAACAAGCCGCGAGCCAAGGAACTGGTCGAGAATGTCCTCAGCTGCATTAAACTCCTGGGTGGTATCGCCGCACAAGGCGCCTCCGTCGTACGTAGCTAGCTCGTTCCTTCAGTGCTGTCACTGACCTTCGGAAAGGTATTCGGGCCTGCAAATCTTTGTTACAGCGCCGTATCCTTCTCGTAGACATCCCCTCCCAAGTGAGCTCGCTGTACGAGGGAGTGGCAGATCTCTTTCAAAGAATCTTCACCTTCCTCAAAATGTTTCGGCTCTATCAGAGGATAGAGGATTTTGCCGATGTGGACCTGGAGTTGAAGCAAACTACCCACAAGATCACGATCAGCTTCGTGACAATCTGTGCTCTTTCCATCAAAGTGCTTGGCCCCTCAAAGTTACGCAAGGTAAAGATAGCTGCCAAACTCATCCTCTTCGGCGACGACTCCGGCGTCGGGGCTGAGCTCTCCAAGTTCAAGAAGCTAGTTGAAGCAAACTCGCAGATTTCCGATGCTGTCACGCTGGAAGTGGTGCTGAAGTCCCATCACGACCTAGACAGTAAGTTGAAGGTTGTCCATGACAAGTTGATTGAAGCGTCTGAGGAGAGTGGACGAAAGCTCGTGCTTATCGCCTCCGGGGTAGACGCTTTGGTCAAGGCAGAGAACGAACGGAAATTGGAGAAAGCCCATCAAGATCAGGTCGACACCCTGTTGAAGAAACTTTCCATAAAAATGGAGACGGTGCAGGCTTCTGAGCAGATGTATCAGAACATCAGGGCTGCTACTGTGAGGGGAATTGGCATCAGTTGGCTTCAAAACGAGAGCGAATACGAAGTCTGGATTGAAAAATCGGCTCCAAACCGGATTCGCTCCTTCTGCTTACCGGCGGTGAGAAGTCTGGTAAATCGTTCTTGGTCTCGACGATGATAAACCAAGCTGCGTCTCAGTGCTCAGAATCGATGCAATCCTCTATGAGGGCCTCAATTGCTTGTTACTACTTCCCAGAACCTGACGAAAAGCCGTCAAGAGAGACCTCCATCAAAGATACGCAGCTTCCAACGACAGCACTAAAGTCCATGGCCGTCCAGATTGCAAAGCGCAACAGCCAGTATGCCAAAGAAATGGCGACCCTCGGAGACAAGCAAGCGGCGGAGGCTTGGATAGACCTGTCATGCAAGGCCCTTTGGCAGACTCTACAACTCGCCGCCCCTAAGAAGGATGCTACATGTTTCCTCTTCTCCAATGGGCTTGATCATGTCCAAGAAAGCAAGGCACAGGAATTGCTCCAAGTTCTTCTCGATTTCAACTCCCCAAGGTTGCGGATCATGGCTTCTTGCGACCCCAAGTTTGTGGACAAATACCGAAGCAAGATCGACAGTACGGGACGCAGGATTCCCCGCATTAACATGGAGCGGAACAACTGGCCAGATATCGTAGCCTATATTGAATACAACATGAAGCACAACAATCTACTTCAGGGGAAAGAGGAAGAGACTGTCGAGCTTTTGAACTACGTAAAAGACAGGGGTCCCGGAGCTTTCGAATGGGAGCTATGATACCCTTCGGCGCCTTCTTGATGAAGTTAACAAATCTCATGACGAAATCCGAGCCTATCTTGATCATGATGCGAAGCAAACTGAATCGCTTGTCGCACGGAGAACCCTCGACAGTCTTAACACTGCATTGGAGCCGCACGAAATCACTCAACTGAACGAACTGCTGGCCTGGGTTATCTATGGCGTAGCATGGTTCAATCCACATCATCTGAAGGGGGTGTTGGTACTTTTTTATGGTCGAACACCAGCGAAAACGGTCGAAGACAAGCTTGACGGTGTATACCGACAAGTTCTTAGGGTCGACTCGGATGGGGACGTCGTCATCGACTCTGAAATCAAGAAACTACTGACGACGGTCCCGCGTGTCCGCCCCAGCAAGGATGTTGTGGATGATAGCAAACCTTTGATCTCGATGACTATCACAATCAACCGGGTAGATGTGGACACGGCCCGACGATTTTTGTGGGATTTGAGCGAAAAGGCCAACTTTGGCAAGAGCTTGCCATTTGATGCTCTCGTCCCCATGGCCGAGGCCCAGGTGAAACCAAGAATAAGTGCGAACCGTGCAGACGGTCAGCTCACGATGGTAAGGCGATGCGTGAAATTACTCCTGGCCGACCCTGACTCGAGAACGGAATGTCTCATCTCATACGTCCTTGAATACCTTCCTCGGCATCTGCAGAAATTGCGCGGGCGTGTAGATGAAGACGATATTGATGTGACAGAGAGAAAAGAAATTGGCCAGGCTTTGGTGAGTCTCTTGTTTGATACCGAATTCATTGAAAAACACTGGATTCTTGGTGAGAACCTTGAAATAGAATGGCTGGATGCAGGCTTTCTAAGGACCACTTTGCCTGCGTGGCTGTGTGGCTGCGTGATACCGCGACAGCGGATGGTTTGTTATACAGGTACAGACAATGGGTGGAGCAAGCTGTGTCGAGGGCCAGCCCAAGGGGTTGTAGCTCTGAAGGACATTACTCTCATGGTCGGTAGGCATTGGCTCTGTAACAGGAAATGGGACAACGTTGAGGGAATGGTACATTGGATGCTGTCCTATCTCGACTCGGTATGATTCCTCTTCCCTACCCTTCAAAGGGAAGCCGAGGATTTACGACTAATTAGGAGAACGCTCAAGTTGCGGGTATTGAGGTAGCTTCAACCGCAACTTACAAAGATACCAACACTGATGATGGCACGCAGAAGGATGACGGCACTTCTGTCGCTGGCTCGTCGGATGAAGAGCAGGCAGAGGAGACCAAACAAATATCTCGGGCGGCTGATTGGTTGAAAGGGAGCTTAATGTTGGACACAAAAACTCACTTTGGTACGAGCGTCTCGGACAATCGTTTCTGGCTTTTAGCATAGCAGGAGCAGCAAAAGAATCATATCAGCAGGCGAAGGACATGCCGAATGCTCACTGGAAATGCGGCGAAGGACTTGCCCTAGTATATGAATCCGAGGGGAGCCTACAATCTGCTGTGAACGAAATGACTGCTGTGATGACTCAGCTGGAGAGCTTGCCACGGGACGAAAATGAAACCAATATCGTCACCAATCTTCGGCGTCTGGGAGGCTGGCAAGTTCAACTTAGCCACAATGAAGAAGCGATTTCAGCATACCGAGAGGTGGTGGAGCTTGATCTTTATGACTACGAGACATGTTGGACGCTTTTGGGGTTACTCGTTCAGTGTCAACGGGCCCAAGAGGCTCTGGAACTGCTAACCCGCATGGCCAATCAAAGTGGCAAAGAGAGTGGCGCAACTCGCCTAGGGGAACTGTTGCTGAGTTTCTCGTCCGAGGACTTGGACTCATTCGACGCAATCTTCAGCGTGACGCGACGCGAAAAGCTTTTCAAGACACTACTGGAGACTATGCTCCAAGCGGTTGAACTTGCTCGGAAGAAGGAGGACGAATCGTCACTTGCGTATCTTCTATTCTTCTACGGAGTGGCAATCGCCCACCCCAACTACGAAGATAGACGTCCAGACGAGGCTCTTCGTTATTGGGAGGAACTTTGTCGCATGGGTTTTGGGAAGTACGGCACCTGGGTCGACACCGCTGTGAGCTTGACCGCCCGATTCGTCTCTGCTCACCATTTTTCACAGGCCTTAGCGGAGCACCATGAGGGAAAGGACTCCACCTTTCATATCTCCAACATCGAAGAACTTATCCAACGGGTCCGTTCCGCCTGGTTCTACGACCACTATGGGGTGGAGGACAAGGTGCGAACGTTCCCTGGCAGCTATTACGCGCAGTCAGGACAGAAACAGCAAGCGAGACTGGTTCTCAGGAACGACATGGGGATGCTTTGCTTCTCTTATCTGACGATGACCCGGACAACGACTGGCAAGGGTATATCGCCATGGCGGAGGTATTGATGCATGCCGGCGACGATCTCAATTCGTTGAGTGCCTGGACACTGCTCACCCCCAAGGACCTAGGTGAGGAGTCAGCTGGAGGAGAAACCACTGGCAGGGGAGACTGTCTCTTCAGTTGCGATGGCAGTTGCGGCCGTAGATGGTACTACGCTGATGATATGTATGTGTGCAAAATGTGCCCGGACGTCGAATTAGACGCTGGTTGTTTAGAGAAGCTCAAGAAGGGTACGCTAAATCGGTATATTTGCGATGTCAGTCACGACTGGCTGCACGTCCCGAGCTGGTCTTACGACAATTACATGGAGGTAGACAATGGGAAGGTGGTTGTAGGGGGAGAGCTGGTTGACGGGAGACGAGTCGGTGGAGAGATGGTTCCCATCAATGTGTGGATTCAGGGGATCTATGACGAGTGGGGGATACCGAAACCTGAGCAGGACGAGACTGAGCCCGAGCCTGCGCCATCGCCTGAACCTGAGGAGGTTACCGTGACGAAGGTCGAAGTGGACTAGTTCTCCAGACAAACTCAACCAAGCCTTAGGTAAATATCTCCGGCCCTCGTGAATCGCGTTATGCCTTCAGGAGAGTTGGCTAGATGCATACAGAGATCCAGCAAGCTAAGATACTTGTGAGTAGATGAGGTATCTCACAGATCCATTTCAAGACAGAGGCTGATGCGGATGAATCTGCTGCTCAACTCGAAGTCTGCGATTTGAGAGGTCCCTTCTGTGGCTGATAGATCATAGTCGACAGACACCAATCAGGGGTGCAGTTTACAGTCAGAAGGTTGTAGCGCCCTTCGTGCCCAGTGACTGATCTACATTTCTACCACTGTAGTCTCTTGAGCTGATGATGCGTAATGCTACAAGGCTACAACGCCGTGAGGACGAGGCTACGAGACTAGTCCAGCCTTGTGGGAGGGCAGAGCAGAAACCTCCAATTTCTGGTTTCTTCGCCAGAACTTTCTTAACATCGGGCACCAAATCGGGGCAGATTTACATTGGCCTCCGTGGTAAACTAGAAAATATATTTTGATTTTATCAGTCTCAAGGACACATATGCCCGCCCTATTGATAATAATTCCCGTATATCCCCAACATAAGTGCCGTTAGCCGAATTCCGACACGTTTGGTATGGGGGAAGCCGGCCAAACTCCGCCTTTGCTCTCAATTAGCCGTGGCAGAGCCCTTTCAATGAGAAGATCCAGATATTCGATTGAACGGACCATGGGCCTCCTGAGCATCAAGAACACTCTCTCGTGAACATCAAAAATTGAGTGGATTGGAGAGAGGTCGTTGGGATTGCAAGAATCGACACCTCCGGTGATTGATTCCCTGTTGATCATGGAAGGCAACCTAGATCGCACGTCATTCCTCCCTTCCCATACGGGGCCCCATGTCTTTCCTAACAGTCCGTTCTTCAGCAAGCTTCTGCGCCACGCACGGCGCGGTCGTGTCGCGTTGCGAGACGTCGATCTCGGACTCGAGAAGACGTATACCGAAATCCTCTCCGATGCGCTGTCCTTCAGAGCCGTGATCGAGCGGTCACTGAGCGATCAGCAGCTCAAGGCCGTTCACCGTGGGGACGAAGTTTACATTGGCGTTTTAGCGGCAGGGGGGTATGAGTTCACCGTTGCTGTGCTGGCGGTGCTTGGTATTGGTGCTGCCGTGGTTCCCATTGGTAAGTTGCGGTGATCAATTAATGCTTTTTTGACGCGAAACTCTGGCGGCAGTGTTGCGAGTAAGTCTCTAACTCTTGTATAAGCTACCTCCGCCCCTGTGACTGAAGCTTCCTACTTTGTCACAAAGTCAAGACAGGCACTGCTTCTTGTGAGTGAAGAGGTCATCCAGCATGGGCGAGACATCCGGCAAAACATCCGACTCGACACCGGTATCGACATCCCGATGCTCACGATCTTGCCCAGCCTCCCAAAATCTTCAACATTCTCTGTATTTGACATGGTCCTCTCTTCAAATCGTCACTTAGACGACAACGCTCCAGGAGTGGTGATATTCACATCTGGCACCACGGGTCGGCCCAAGGGAGCCGTCATGCGCCGCTCGTACACGCACGAGACTGCTCTAGCTATAGGTGAAGGCTACGACGTCTGTCACACCGATGTGCTCCTGCACGTTCTCCCAGTCCACCACACCACTGGTCTTCAAACGTCCTTCTTTGTCTTCCTCGTTGCCGGCGCCTGCATCGAGTTTAAGCGCGGCTCATTTGACCCCGACTGGGTATGGAAGCGATGGCTGGCCGGAGGCTTGACCGTATTTTCTGCCGTGCCAACCATCCTTTTGCGGTTGAAATGGCATTATGAGAAGCACATCGCCCACCTGCCACCTGCAGAGCGGCAACGGTACGACGACGCAGGAAACGCTTTCCGTGACATCATGTGCGGATCGAGTGCGTTACAAGACCCCGTGCAAGAGTTTTGGACGACCTTGCGCAGAAACCGGCCCATCCTCACACGGTACGGCGCGACCGAATTCCCCGGCTGCCTGAAAGTGCCTGCGAACGCGAGAGACCTTCCCAAGGGCTGCGTCGGGCTCCCCGTGCCCGGCGTGGAACTGAAGCTGTCCGAGGGCGACGAGGGCGAACTTCTCGTCCGCTCACCGTACATGTTCTCCAAATACCTTTTCGACACCGAAGCCACTCGGCAAGCGCACGACGCCGACGGCTTCTTCAAGACGGGCGACATCCTTCGTCGCGAGGGACAGTATTATTTCGTCGTTGGCCGCGCCTCAGTCGACATCATCAAGTCTGGAGGGTACAAGATCTCTGCCATCGATGTGGAGAGAGCGTGTCTGAAGCTGCCGTATGTGAGCGAGGTGGCGGTGCTAGGCGTCGAGGATGAGGAGTTTGGACAGCGCGTCGCTGCCGTCGTCGCCGTCAAGTCGACATCTGATTCTGGAAAAGATTCCAACAACAGCGACCATAATGGTGACACCGGCAATAATGAGCACCAGACACTGACGATCGATCGCCTTCGAGCAGACCTCAGGGCTGACCTGACGCCGTATAAACTGCCGACTCTGCTACGTGTCGTGCACGGCGAGCTGCCCAAGGGCGGCACAGGGAAAGTGCAGAAGAAAATCCTGGGACCGCAGATGTTCCAGCCGGGCTGGAGGACGGACGCCGAGGTGCAGTTTTGGGACCCCAAGAGGAATACTTATAGAGGAGGGGCGAAGCTATAAATATATGGGAATGAGGTTTTCAGTGCAGTCTGGAAGATAGTGGAAGGCGCAATGCTGGGGGCGGAGGAGACCTCAATGCACACACACATCCCCCCTGTAAAGAGAGAGAGAATTAGAGAATGCCATAGACCAGCCATCTCCATCTCATCATCTACTCTCCAGTTGATATTCATAAATTTTAATCCCCCTACGTCCTTCGACAGCATTAAACCCCACGCCCCTAAGATTCCAACTTCCCTCCGCCTGCTCTGCTGACATGGTGTTCCCGCCTCGATCCGTCGCTTTGCTCCAAATGCTGACATCGTCACCCGGCTCACAAGGGATATAGACATCCCATAGGACCCATGTGAACTTCACCTTCCGGGCCTTGTCTTTTCCCGTGTCGTTGCTATTGCCCATGGGGGGGGGGGGGGGGGGGGG